CTGGCGCAACCCAGCTAATTGTACAATAAACTACTATGTACATATGTATATCTTTATATACATATGGACAGTGATAATAATTGTAATGTTTACAGACTGTCGAGGGGTACATGTATATATGGCATTCCCTACTGCGTGTGTATCTCCTCTCCGAGGAAACCGAGGAAAATTATAACAGTTACGTGACCGAACACATGTTTGCGGTGGGGGAGGGGAAAACTCTCGTTTGATCGATACGAACTGAATATAATTGATTTTCGTTACAAACCGGTCGCTGTAAAGCAAAAAGCCCTTCCTGAACTAATGTAACTACATATGTATGTACATACATATATTGGGTCTGGAAACTATTTACCTCTGATGGGCACCTCACCTCCATGGGAGGTTCCATGTAGGACAACAACTTATATGCCCTACAAAACGCCTCGTTTTATGGGTTTCCCTTAAACAACATGGCCCTCACTCACCTGAATTATAAATATTTATGCTTTTCTTGTATCAATGTCACTAAATTAAATGTTTATTAAATCTCTCGGCTGCTGTTAAATAGATTTTTTGATGGAGTTCGAGTTTGACGTTCTAGAAACTTTTCCGCTGGACCGGCTGGCTGCTTGTGTTTGTGTGTGTGCAACGCTTCGGTATATTTACGTAGTCAAATTTGGAAATGTATATTGCTAGTATTTTAGGTATATGTCAACGTTCTCTCGTTTAACTCGCTCTGGTCACACTGTCCCAAGAAACGGAATGGAGCAATGGAGTCCAATTTATTTTTAGTTTTTCTATTGTCGTTTTCAATATACAAAAATGCAAGAGGTGGGCTTTTGTTAGTGTTACTTAATAAATTAGTGTTTTTTGTTGGAAGTGAATGTAGGCAACCGCGATTGCAAGGGGTTTTAAAGCCCCAACGAAGTGATTGAAAAGTGGCAGAGTGTTGTGAACGGCCCCGATTTGTTTTCGTATTCTGCAGCTCTTCTAAACTGTGCTGCGTATTTAGCAGGGCTCGAAGTGAAAAGGTGTTCTCGGGATGCTAATCGATGGAATCCCCATGTGGAGGAGCATATAGAACGCATTATGTAAACGGATGTCGTGGGCGTTCGAAGCATAAGTGCATTTTCCTAATGATTTACCCACGCACACCAAAGTTCCGTGTGTATACACAGAACTCGATGGGCGTCTTTGTGTGTGTGTGTGTTTGTGTGTGTGTGGTGGGGCCTTGCATGCCTGTATGCTTGTATGCTTAATGTGTTTTTGTTGTTTTTTTTTTAGCTGAAATCAGCGATCATTTGCGTGAGGACATTCAGGATATAGACATGGAGCCCTCCGCCCACGTCAACGGCAAAGAGTTTCCGGCTGTGCCACAGAACTCGGTGCAGACGCATCCCAGGTGATTAAATTTATATCCTTACATTTAGCTTCTAACCCTGCTTTTGGCCAAAAGTTGAAATATTGCTAACCTCTACATCCCCCCTTTCCCATGCTGCTTATCCTTGATTAGGAGACACATTAAGAGTAAGCGCCGCATGAAAAGAAGGTAACATAAACATAAACAAATTATAGAGACGCCACAGAAAATGTCAAAAAAAAAAAAACACTCGGTTTGCCGCACTCTGGGGAAAAAATTTAAAACCAACCAAATCTGACCGATCGTCCATCCAATATTTTGAGATTTGGGTGGAACCTCTGGATATGATGATCAATTGAATGGTCATAATTGTATTTGATAAACAAAAATGTCAAAACTATAATTTCAAACAATTAGGCTTTTGTTCTTGGTTTTATGATAGTAGGTTTTAAACAGTTTTAATATTTCGAGTTTTACCATGAAAACGATAAATAAATGGTCAGGTCATAGTTTATTTATAAAGGTATATTTATTTTTCCGAAAAGTTAAATACTTGTTAAGCAGTTGTAAAAGTATACTTTTCCCCTTACAAACAATATTAATATGAGATAAGGGTTCATTTACCACTAAATTTCATATTTTGTATAAAGTGGAATTTTATTCTGATCCTTTTTACTTAAATAATGTTTATACCGGTATAACCTGTTTTATTTTAACATAATGCAAGTAGTGTAAATATATTTTGTGTGTATAGAACTGCTATTTTCCCGAGTATATTACCTTAAGGTAATAAATTCAAGCCTTTCTTTTTTTTAATTTCTTAAAATCTTATTAAACCTTCGACTCTTTAAACAGATACAAGTGCTATTCCTGCGAGCCGCCTTGTCTGGATCCGTATGAGTTTTCCCACACCTGCCAGAATGCCATTCAGGTGAGTTATACTGTTTGAGAACCGCTGAATCTATAACTAAATCTCCCGTGTCATCCCGACAGTGCTGGAAATCACGGACCCGCGATGCCGATGGACAGGAACACGTGTCCCGCGGATGCAGCACCTCGCCGGACCAACTGCCTCTGATCTGCAGCCAGAACTCGCTCAAGCTCAATGGGCCCAGCAAGCGCAATACGGCCAAGTTCGTCAATGTGGCCTGCTGCGCCGGCGACTACTGCAACAGCGGAGAGTTCCCGGAACTGCTGCCCTTCGCCAGTAACGATGTGACGGTTATAACGGCGGATACCAGTAGCATCAGCAAGATGTCGGCCGCCATTCTGGGTCCTTTCCTGGTGATCACGCTGCTGGGAGCTGTGGCCATCTTCTTCATCCGTCGCAGTCATCGCAAACGCCTGGTTGCCTCGCGCACCAAACAGGATCCGGAGGCGTATCTGGTTAATGACGAGTTGCTGCGCGCCACCAGCGCCGGTGACAGCACGCTGCGGGAGTACCTACAGCACTCGGTGACCTCGGGATCGGGCAGCGGACTGCCCCTGCTGGTGCAGCGAACTCTGGCCAAACAGGTCACCCTGATCGAATGCATAGGGCGGGGCAAGTACGGCGAAGTGTGGCGCGGCCACTGGCACGGTGAGAGCATCGCCGTAAAGATATTCTTCAGTCGCGACGAGGAGTCCTGGAAGCGGGAGACGGAGATCTACAGGTGAGGGCTAATTAAACCATTTTCAAGCGTGTTGTCAAAACTGTTCAGTATCAGAGTATCTCAACGGGTTCCGCATAAAGAAGTCCTGACGGTGATAAGCCAAATTGTGTGGATTTAATTTTGTTTTTTTTTTGTGTATTAGCTCAAAATAGAGGATTTGATATAATATTACATTCCATATCAGCCATAAAAATAACAAAACACTTTAAGAAGAGATTAATTTGTCATTAGGTTAACAAAGTAAAGATGTTTTCGGGATAGGAAGCAATTCGAAAAAAGTTTGATTTATATTGCATCAATATTAGGATCAAAATAAAAAATAAAGGTAGTAGTTTTTTAAATTGTAGTGTTTAAATATATAAATAAAAAATCGTGCTTTACATACATCCAAAACTAGCCATCACTAACAATATCCCACTGTATTTTTTAGCACCGTTTTGCTCCGGCATGAAAACATTTTGGGCTTCATTGGCTCCGACATGACGTCGCGGAACTCGTGCACCCAACTTTGGCTGATGACGCACTACTACCCACTGGGCTCGCTCTTCGATCACCTGAACCGCAACGCTCTGAGCCACAACGACATGGTGTGGATTTGCCTGTCGATAGCCAATGGACTAGTGCACCTGCACACAGAGATATTCGGCAAGCAAGGGAAGCCAGCGATGGCTCACCGCGATTTGAAGTCAAAGAACATATTGGTCACCTCAAACGGGTCCTGCGTGATAGCCGACTTTGGACTGGCCGTCACCCATTCGCATGTCACAGGACAACTGGACCTAGGCAACAACCCCAAGGTGGGCACCAAGCGCTACATGGCTCCAGAGGTTCTGGATGAGAGGTAGGTGTTCGTTCAATGCCAGTATGCCGATTGAGATTGTGGTGTAAAAGAATGCTATTTCCCCGCAGCATTGATTTGGAATGCTTCGAGGCACTGCGCCGCACCGATATTTATGCTTTTGGACTGGTTCTGTGGGAGGTTTGTCGACGCACCATTTCGTGCGGCATCGCCGAGGAGTACAAGGTTCCCTTCTACGACGTGGTGCCCATGGATCCCAGCTTTGAGGACATGCGCAAGGTGGTCTGCATCGACAACTACAGGCCCTCCATCCCCAATCGCTGGAGCTCAGATTCGGTAAGTCGATCTCGGAGTTAAGCGTGAAAACTTCAAATCTAATCCTGTATCCTGTCTGTCTGCAGTTACTGGCTGGCATGTCCAAGCTCATGAAGGAGTGCTGGCACCAAAACCCCAACGTGCGCTTGCCAGCGTTGCGCATCAAAAAGACTATACATAAGCTAGCTTCCGCTGACGAGAAGATACGCCTGGACTTTGACGAGGTCTGCGTTTAGTGGTTGTAGTCGAGCCTTAGCTGTAAGCTTTGATATAGTTTACCATCTAGCTAGCTTAAGATTCATTCATTGACATTTTCCCTTTGCATTTTCACACTATTAGTTCGTACATGTAATATTCAGAGTTAAGCCAAAATCCCACGAGTTGAATGAAGAACTAAGCCAAGTACAAGACCCTTGAAAGCTTATAACTAGAAGACTAACACATATTTGCAATGCAAATGTTGCATTACTTGGATCGACCTTATCGTTTCCGTTTCACCGTGAAGTGAAGCTTGACTTTGGTGCCTTTGAAATTGCCTTAAGTTAAAGTTAGCATCGACTTGATATATTCTTGGGATATCATCCTGTATAGTTATCATCTCACTATTTACCATTGTTCATCGTTCATCAAGTGCCATTTGCAATTGAGAATTGTAAACGCGTTAACTGTAAGCTCACTCTTTGAACTCTACACTAAATTCCTGACTCTAGAACTTGTCCAAGCTATGATAGATCCATAAGCCACACCACCCACTGACTTGCTGTCCTAGTTAGTTAAGCCTTTAGCACTTAGTTCCCCACGCATAGAAGCATACACACCTACTTGTATATTGTACAAATTGCAAGCTATTTAAGTTTTGTATAGTTTAAACGAAATAAAATACACGAATAAGTAAGTAAGCAACAAGAACCCGGTTTATTGATTGATGTTCGTCAATTGTCCGCCGTTAGCAGTCGGAAGCTGTCGTCGTTGTCCTCGTCCAGGAAAAGCAGCCGGAAAATGTCGTTAAAGAAGTCGGGATAGTAGTCGCAGGCCCGTTTGCAGTCCGGAGTCCAGTTGATCTCCAGCAACTGCGGCTCCATCACCTTCTCGCCATCATCTTTCCACCGGAGCATGATGTCAGCAGCGTACAGCGCCCGGGATTGGGCACAGGGTGCCAGTCCGCAGGGCGGATCTGCTTGTCTGGCGCACTGCAGCACCTCCCGCAGCATGTGGCAGATCTGCTGCTCCAGGGTCGACCATTCGCTCTCCGGATACTGCTCCTGCCAGAGGGCCAAGAAGTCGTCGCACTTGACGTGGTGCAGCTGCGCCTCCTCCTGGTAGTTCATCACCGTGTAGTGCTTTTCGTAGTCGTCGAAGTGATCCAGCGAGAAAGGATGGTTGGCGAAGCGCAGGAAGAACTTGCGGTGCACATAGGCCTTTAGGGGCTTAACGCTCTTCAGGAGTATCACATAGCGAATATCGAACTTCACGCTTCCCTCCACTTCATCTCGTCTGAAGAGAACCGGTCGCTCAATGTACTTCTGGGCAATCTTTGGTCCGGTGGCCGGCAAACGCACAATCTGCTTGATGTTGTCCGTGATGTGGGTGTCCAGGCCACGGGCCAGGTTCCAGGGCTTGACGATCCAGTGGTTGTCCAGGCCCCTGGCCGCCCTCGTTTGGTAATACGCTGCGAACTCCTTGAGTTCCGTGGACAAGTTGTAGGTGGTGGGGAGCCAGCTGGGGTAAGTTTCCAGCGTATGGCCATTGTGGTGCTCCTTGGCCGCCCGACGGCCCACAATGCTGAGCAAATCCTTGATGGTAATCACGTACTCGAACGGAAACTGGTTGATGAACTTGCCCGGCGACTGGTCGGCGAACTCCTCGAAGTTCTTGAAGTGGTGCGTAAGCCACAGGACGTCCGCCTCGTCTTCGTTGTCAACCAGTACAAACTCGGGCGAAGTGAGATGCTGACGCACCACTTCATACTGGGCATACACCTTCAGGGGATCGCAACGTGTCCTAGCGGACAGGGGATCGGTGTTATCTTTGGGATACGTCTCTGGGGTGTGACCGCTGGTGAAGTAATCCGCCCGCGGCTCCACCTGCAGGAAACTCTCGGCAGTGAGGTCGGCATCGCGCCAGGGCAGAAGAAGGGCAGCCCGCTGCGGCGCCTCCTTGGCCACGTACTCCACCATATCGCGGGTGACCTGATCTCCGGGCTCGCAGTTCCGGACGGGAAAGAGCACACTGTACGTGGTCTGGGTGTTCAGGTAGAGCAGCGGCACCAGCCGGAAGTTCGGATCGTCCGAGTGGTTCACCGCCGACCCGACCTCGTCCATCACGTACCAGATGGGCTGGCGCTCCTCATCCGACAGGCCCTCGCTGCCGATGGAGTAGGCTTGGCAGTACTTCCACAGGCGGCGCAGTATCTTGTCGACCCGATCCTCCAGCTCCAGATCCACGCCGGTGATGGCCGACATGCGGTCCGCCAGCTGCTGGTGCTGCTCCAACTGCTGCCGAGCGCTGTTCAGCCGGAAGGTCCAGGCATGATCGACCAAGTAGATGGCCCGCGGGTCATCCGCTTTTATTCCCTGCTCGCGGGCCACTCCCAATGCAAACACCGGGTTGGGACTGTCGTCGTCCTCGGCGGGATTCTGCTCCTCATCGTCGTCGTAGTCGATTAGCATCAACTGTAGCGCCTCGCCGGCATCAAAGGTTTCTGTGGCCAGTTTCCGGTAAAGGGCTGGCCAAAAGTGCACCGGAATCCCCGAGGACTCCAGCTGCGTCTTGTGCAACGCCACAAATTCGTTGAACTTGTTTATGCCGTCCATGTGCAAGCGCCAATTAGGTTATCAATTAATAAATTAAAATATTCTCGAAGCACGTCCCCTGTTAGAGTGACCATATGCGCAGGAGGTCCACTGATGCGATTCTAATTCTATCGGGCCTCCAGCTGAGAATGACTATTTTTAGTTTTTATTTTTGCTCTTATCTAAAGTTAGTGTGCCTTTATAATTTCATTTGTTATAAATTATTGGTTATATTATTATAAGCATATTAGTTTTGTAACGATTTTTATATATTATTATACATAACTATATGGGACACCAATAAGTCCCATATAGTTAAGCAATTTTGGCATTTATTTTATATTATTAGTATGCCCTATTTCTGTTTGATTATAATTATACAGTTATTAAAATTTGTAAATTGCTATCTAGTGCCCTCTTTCCTGGTGGATAAATCTCTGTGGAAACAGGCTATAAAGGAAAATAGGTCGTTCGTAATGAGCCCTTTTTCGTATCCCAGAACACCGCCTCTGGCCTAACCTAATCGTTAGCCAACACTGTCGGCGAACAGCTGACCAGCTGATGGTGTGACCGCATTCCGCTTGTTTTGGCCATGCGCCTGTGTTTGTTAGTACCTCTTCCTACCAGATTAGCAACAACAATAAGTATTTCACCATTAGAATAGATAACATGTAATAGCGACGCCCGAACCCCCCAATCAGACCAATCCAAAACACTTTCCGTGCGCGGCGTACGCAGAAGTTCAAAGTCATCACAACTCGGCAGTACTAAGGGGTACAAATTAGATTTTACTTTCGTGTCAACACTCATGAAACTCTCGGCTTTCGACGGGTACGCAAGTAGCGCGCAAATGGTGACGGAATTTGGTTGTTAGGAGCCCCCGCACCGCACACTCTGTCTAAAAATTCAGAATTGAGAATCCGGACCGTGAGCACAATGAGCGAACCGCTGGCATTGGCAAGCGGCGGCGTGGTGGATCCACCGACCCCTTCCACTTCCGCCTCTGTTTCGAACCTGCCCACAGCCACAGTTGCGCAGGGATCGGGATCCAACCGGGGCATGGACCTAGAGGTAAGCAATGGGTCCAGGTCCACGTCCACGTCCACGTCCAGTTCCCCATCGTAGTCGGCTCTGGCTGGTGAAATAACGGAATAAATCACTCTCGAAAAATTCATTCCGAATTCTTTTGCCCATTTTGCACGAACAACAACTGCGCAATTAACTCACTGCCGCTGGTTAAGTAATTTTCGGGGACGGAGCACCTGGCATGGACCGTCCAACCAGCGGCTAGAGGTGCCCAACGAACTCACAACGCACACACACACACTCACACTCTCACACTGGCCCCTGCCCAAATTAACTTGTGACTTTTACCTTTCACCTGCAGGATCCCAAAAACAAAGGATTCTTTCTCTGGCAATGGTTTTGTAACTGGACATCCAGCTCACCGACCATGCTGCGCGCCGTAGAGAAGAAGATACTGTCGTACGTGAAGCTGCCCTACCGGGGCTTCTTCGTGGACATCGGGCCGGCGGTGGGCGAGGCGGACAAGATCTGGACCATCAGCATGAACACTGAGTCGAAGGAGGTGCCTCTGGTGCTGCTCCACGGCCTGGGATCGGGCATTGCCTTGTGGGTGATGAACCTGGATGCCTTTGCCAAGAGTCGACCCGTGTACGCCATGGACATCCTCGGATTCGGACGCAGCTCGCGTCCGCAGTTCGCCAAGGATGCTCTGGTGTGCGAGAAGCAGTTCGTCAAGTCGGTGGAGGAGTGGCGCCGCGAAATGAACATCAACGACATGATTCTGCTCGGCCACTCGATGGGCGGCTTCATTGCCTCCAGCTACGCCCTTACCTACCCGGAGCGGGTCAAGCACTTGATTCTGGCCGATCCCTGGGGCTTCCCCGAGAAGCCCGCGGAGTCGGCCAACGGCAAACAAATGCCGCTCTGGGTGCGGGCCATAGCTAGAATCCTTACGCCGCTCAATCCGCTGTGGGCCTTGCGCGCCGCCGGCCCCTTTGGCCAGTGGGTGGTGCAGAAGACGCGGCCGGACATCATGCGCAAGTTCCAGAGCACCATTGACGATGACATCAACCTGCTGCCGCAGTACATCCACCAGTGCAATGCCCAGAACCCGAGCGGCGAGTCTGCTTTCCACACAATGATGCAGTCCTTCGGCTGGGCCAAGCACCCGATGATCCATCGCATTAAGGACGTGCGCAGCGACATACCCATCACATTTATCTACGGCTCCCGCTCGTGGATCGACTCCTCCTCCGGCGAGAAGATCAAGTCACAGCGCGGCAGCAACATGGTGGACATCAAAATCGTGACGGGAGCTGGCCACCATGTGTACGCCGACAAGGCGGACGTCTTCAACCGATACGTGAATGAGACCTGTGATATGTACAAGGTGGCCGGCAAGCTAATCACGCCGCTGCAGCTAATCCGCGAGTCCACGGAGTCCGACGAGGAGCGCGAACCCAGCCTGAGCACAGCGAAGACGGTGGAGGTCCAGCCGGAGGTTCAGCCGCTGCCCGAATCCATCACCACGGCAGACGCTTCCGACGAACTGGCGGCCAATGTCAAGCCGAAGTGAGCAGGAGCACAAGGGTTTAGTGGAGAAGGCAATCAGAGCTCGCCTGCCAGCCTGTATCTATTAGCTTAGTGTCTTTGCCTAGTATTAAAAGGTCTTCTTATTTACTCAGCCGCTATTTTTACTCTCTACCGTACAGTCCCACTTGGCTAACTGAAACAAAGCTCTAAACGGCCCATTCTTATTTATATTTTTGGAGATTTCAAGTTATACAAATACTGTTAACTAATAAGCTTAAATATACTTGTTATGAAAGCAACTCGAGTGTATGTTTAATCAAATTTAAGGGTAATTTTCATTCGTTGTCTGAATTGAAACAACAGAACTAATTTAGTATACTTACATATTTTAAGCTTATAGAAAAGTGTAGGCTATAAACAAGTTAAAATAATTAAGTTTATGGATTGTTCTCGCAACTAAGTACCTCGTAAGCGGTTAACGTTCACTTGTGCTGAGTCAATCGGGGTGCAAAGGTCACATCGCGGGCACTGTCACCGCGCATGGAGCTCCATTGATAAGTTGCTCAGCCAAGGGGGCATTCCGAGTCCCGCCAAAAAGTTCTCTACGAATTCCTCTCAAACATGCGTCAGACTTGACATCGACCAGGAAGAGCCCACACGCGCCGGTTGTTTTCGATTCTTTCGATTTAGGTCCTAAGGCTATCTCGAGGTAATTGTTAGCTGATAGGCCGGCAAAAACAATGGAATTATGTAGGTGAAGACGGGAGCGGTTCTATGTAGCTTGGGGCTGGAAATCTTTGCACTTGATTTAATCAATAGATGATTCATGGAATACAACGAAATGGTTTTAAAACAGTTTGGCCTGATATAACTTTTTTTTTTCTTCAATATCTAAACGATTGTGTATACATTAAAATGAGTTTTGAGTTTGGTTTTTTCACCAAAGAAAATGTAAATAAAAGTCTCAACTTTGTAGAGCTGTGTTAATTAAATGACAACAGAGGAAGCCGTTGATCTCCCGAGATTTGTTATCAACTGACTGCTCCAAGCTTCGCTCTGTTGGAGCACGCAAAAATACAATTATACAATTTAATTGAGTGAAATAAGTTCCACAGACAAACATACACACTCGTTTTCATTCAGCCCCGCCACTGATCATGACACATGCAATCTACACATTAATATATATATAGTATATCGCTCGGACCTTATCAAAACAATGGACAAGCAAAATACATACAGCTGATAAGTAATCAAAAAGTTGGCATAAACAACTCGCAGTCAAACAAAGAAACGCTAATCTAATACATATTTATTCCGTAGGTTCTTCGGAGAAAGTTCCAATTGGATCGATAGTGTTTACAATACGAGTTTTAAGTATATTTCTCTTTGTTCGATTACTTGGCATCGGCGAAGCCCACACGATCGTTGCCCATGTCGAACTCGGTGTAGTACTTGCCAATGAAAACATCGCCCAGGATCCACAGAGGTCCGTTTGGCGGGGGTATGTCCATGCCCATAAAGCCGGACAGGCAAATGGTCTTCCCCATTTGGGCCACCCGGAGAATGTAGTCCTTGCCCTCCAGCTCGAAGGTCTTGCCGCCCAACACAAACTTGATTATCGGTAGACTGGGGATCAGGTCGCAGGAAACAATGTACTGCAAGGGAAGATCGGGAGATTGGTAACTTTCGAGAGATACCCTGGATTCAAATGGTGCCTCACCTGTCCACCAATGATGGGAGTGCCGCCGATCTTCTGGTTTATCGAGGTGGCCTCCTCCAGGGGCGCAGCGATCAGCGAGGTACCCGTATCGGCAATCACCTGGCAACCGCCCTTGCACAGCTGCAGGTCGCCAATGGAGGCCGAATCCATCTTGATCTGCCAGTAGGCCTTGCGGGTAACAGGCAGATAGGTAAATTCGCCAGTGTAGTGGTTGGCATCGGAGCCGCCGAAGATGATCTCACCGCCCTCGGGCGAGGCGGGATCGCGGTTGAGGTAGAACGAGAAAACCGGTGCGGAAATCAGGCCCTGCTCGTACATGGCGTAGAACGGCGGCTTCACCTTGTCCACGGAAATGGAGCTGTAGCCCAGGCCCAGGATACCATCAAACTTGGCGGCCACGAAGACGAGTCCGGGCTCACTCAGTGCCTCGGCAAAGGTCTGGTTCTTGATGTCCAGGCCGGCAATTGAAACCGTATCCGTGGACAGATAGCCGGACAGGCTGCCCGAACCGTAGTGGATGGCGAACTCGGTGCCGTCCTTGGAGTACGTCTTCGACTTGGTGGCATCGTACTTGTTGTGCATCAAGCAGGCGATGTTGGTCAGGTGACACTTCTTGGAGGGCACCCACAGGTTCGAGGAGCCGGTGTCGAAAACCACACGGAAGTTCTGCGGCGGCGAGCCGATGGCGATGGGTCCGTAGTACTGGGCGTCCATGTAGTTGGACAACGGTTCCGGAACATCGCCTCCGCCGTATTTAATGCGCAGTTGCTGCAGTTCTGTGCCCACGTCGGCGAAATGGCGTCGGGCCGACTGGAATTTCTTGAGCGGCACACGCAAAAGTCCGGGTCTTGGTTGCGGATTCGAGTGGGCCACGACCACGGCCAGGAAGGCGACCAGCAGCAGGGGAACCTTCTGCATTTCGTTAGTAAATTGTATCACTTGAGTGACGGCTAAAACTGCAATGATCCGTTCGCTGCAGTTAATTAAATATTGCGGGACAGCGAAAATGATTCAGCACAGATAAGGTACTAAATTTGACCTGGCGCGAAGTGTTGATTAAAAAGTACCGCAAACAATCGTTATTTGAGACTTTTATATACGGTGCAAATATAATTATTTTTAATGGAATTAATTTATTTATACATATATTTATTAATTCAATTTGGGTTAATGTCCGTTTGGCTCAAAGGCCAAAATTGTTTTTGGGTCCCGATAACAAATAGAAATGGTCAAAGCCAAATTTCAATTGTTTTCCTTTTTTTGCAGATATCTCCGATAACATTTATTTAGGATTTAAAAAACAAAAATAAATAAACGAATATATTTTTAGGTACATGTTTGTCCGACATGTGATTGGCATTAACAGCTGATCTGGTTTTGTTTACTTTTGAATTGACGCAAATCCAAGAAAAATAAATTAAAAATCGTGAATTTAAGTAACATTACGGTAATCTTTAATGATCAGCAGGATATCCATTATGTTGGAAGCTGGTGGTGTTGTTTGAGGGGTATACTAAAAAGCCCACAACCATTTTTAAGAAAGAACAAAGTTCAAAAATATGTGGGAGTTTTCACATCCCTGAGATCCAGAAATAATGCATTGTGGTACCGTGATTAGGATTTGGCGCTCTTGTATTCGGTCATTTTTATGCAAAATAGATTATAAATTAGATCTCAAACTTTTATTTAAAGGTTTTTTAAATAAAGATCATATCATAGGATTTATTGAAAAAGAAAAAAATAAATAAACGTTTTTAAAACTCTGACCTATTTATTCGTAAACAGGACTCCAAAATACATGTATCCTTAAAATTTGAAAACCATCGGGCGTTGGGGCTTTTCGGAAGTTTATCCTTTTCAGCAATTCAGAGATTCAGTCATGTAGAGATTACCCAAAGCACTTCACTTGCTAAAAATGTATGCCGAATTTTCAGATAGGGTATTCCCGAAAAGTATGAATTTTTGAATTTCCGAAAACTTAGCAGAAATGAATAATGAAATTTCAGCAAGTTGAATTTGTATGGAACAGCTGACGAACAGCTGATCGATTTCCAATACATGTATTTCTGCTGAATTTTGAGCAATACTAAGATTCAGAAGTTTCGGGAATACCAAAAAATATTTAGTTCTATATATATTATGTCAATAAAAATCAATAACAAATTTATTACTTCAGAAATAAGTTTTAATTTTTTGTTAGAAAGGTAAATTTTAAGCGAGGGAAGTATGTGCGCTGGAATCCAATGTTCGGATTCAATGTGTCTGTGAGAAGAGGGAATTTACAAAAATCGATAACAGGAATCCCCATAATATATGCTAATGATATAATGATAGGGAACGATTTCGATTAGCTTTTGCCTTGGTTCACTCCATCCCTGGTTTGCAGCCCGGCAAAATTGCGTCTTGTGAAATTATAAATGGTAGCAGTTGCTTGGACACGCTCTTGTTGAAACGGCACCATGTCATCCATTGACAAGTTGTCCATCCAGGGAGTCCGGAGTTTCGGCTCCAACGCAGAAGATCTTCAGGTAAGAGCTGCCTGAAATCCGCAATCCCTTTAAAATGGGCTTTAAAATGGGCTGAAAACTCCGCAATCCGCAGAGCATGACGTTCTCATCGCCGGTTACCCTGATTCTGGGCGAGAATGGGTGTGGAAAGACGACTGTTATAGAGTGCCTGAAGTATGCTCTCACCGGCGAGTGCCCGCCGGGCAGTGATCGCGGCAAGAGCTTCGTCCACGACCCCAAGATCTTCGGACTGAGCGAGTCGCTGGCGCAGATCAAGATGCAGGTGCGCGACAAGCGGGGCGCCCAGGTGTCCATCTGTCGCACCATGAAGGTGTCCAACAAGATGTCCAACAAGCGCAACCAGGTGTCCTTCGAGACGATGGACTCCACCATCAACTTCCTTAGCGGCGCTGGGCAATCGAAGCGCGAGAATCAGGACTCCCTAAGCGGGCGCACCGTGGACATCAATTTGGCCATCTCGGACTTCATGGGCGTCTCCAAGGACATTATCAACAATGTCTTGTTCTGCCATCAAGAGGACTCCAGTTGGCCGTTGGACGAGGCGAAGAAGCTGAAGGAGAAGTTCGACGCCATATTCGGCATTACCCAGTACAATAAAGCCTTGGATAAAATCATAAAGCTGCGCAAGGAGGCCGTGGAGGAGCTGAAGGTGATGGGTGAGTTATGCACAGCGGATGGTCTACAAACTCTGCTTGAATATAAACCCCCCTCCCTCCTCCACCAGTTGCAAACATGAAGCATTTGGCCTTTCTCAAGGAGGAAATGGAGGTGAAGACCATGAGCCTACAGAGGGCCCAGCAAAAATGCGACGATATCAAGGCGCAGTGCAGCGAATGCGAGGAGGAGATCAAGCCCATCGAGGCCAGGCTGGTGGAAATCAGGAACGTGGAGTTCGAAATCGGAAAGTACCAAGCGCAAAAGGTCGAAATGGACACCAAGTAAGTGAGACCAGCTCATGGCCAGCCTTGGCACTAACTTCCAGTTACCTGATAGGCACAACAACTGCAAGGAGCAGATCACCACCACAACCCGGAAGATCAAGAGCCTCTTCAAGGGTTCTCTTGTTGAGCTGGAAGCGGAGATCAACAACTTCGACCAGCGCATGTCAGAGATGCGGCAACAGCGAGCCGAGACAGAGCAGAATCTGTCGCAGCTTAAGAAGACCAGTGCAACTGAGCAGGAGAAGTTGGGCCAGCTGGAAAAGAAGCACATCCTGGCCAAGCAGCAGTTCCAGAGCGAGCAGACTTGCAGGGCCCAGCTACTGCAGCGTGTCCAGGACTTCTGCCGCGAACTACACATCCCCATCGATGGCAATCTTGTCGAGGAGCCCGCGAAGCTGGTGGAAGTGCTGCAGGACATCGAGGCGATGATACTGAGCAAGCACTGCGAGATCGCAGAGATCGTGGAGCAGAACGACAAGGCCGATCGGTCCAGACAGCTAAAGATCGACGAACTGCGCATCGAGCTGACCAAATCGGAGCAAAGCGTGACAGCGCAGGAGAAGCAGAGGGAGAGCAGCAAACGCGAGAGCGAGACCCTTGGGGTAGATATTAAAAAAATCGAAGCCTCCATGCAGGAACTGAAGAAGCTGGAGACGGAATTCGCCGATGTAAACCAGCTGTATGAAAGGGCTACAAAGGATTTGAACCAGGAGGCCATGCGAGAGGTCATCTCCAGCAAGAAGGCCAGTATTGCCGACAAGCAGAAGCTGTTCAAGAAGCTGGACGAACAGCTGACTTTCCTGGGCTCCATGGCCAAGCTGGTTGCCGAAATAGGTCTCAAGCAGAAGGAGCTCGAGAAGAAGAAACAGGAAGTGCATCGCGTGCGCAACCGTCATGCGGATAACTTTGGGAAATTCTTCAAGGAACCCATCAGCAGCAACTACCGCCGATCGGTGCAGGGAGCCTTCGACAAACTGCGCCGCGAGATCAACGATCTCAACGAGAAGGCCAGCCAGCAGAAGCTGAAGGAGCAGTCGTTCGAGATAAGGCGTAAGAACCTCATCGGCGAGATTTCGCGCATGGAGAAGGAGCTTAAGGAGAGCGAGGAGCTGATATATCAAAAGTGTCGCTCAACGCCCTACGAGGATCTCCTGGAGCGCAGCAAAGCTGCCATTTCCAAGCTGCAGTTCGACCACGGCGCCCTCAAATCCTCGGAGGCCCTTTACAAGAAGTGAGTTTGCCAAAAAGGGGTCGAGCCTCCTATTATATTTTTTACTCAACTGCTATCCCTGCTATCAATAGGTACATACAAAAAATCGAAGAAGAGCCCTGTTGTCCTTTATGCCACCACAATATGTCTGGTGATGAGGCCTGTGACTTGACCAACGAGCTGACCGACGAGATCCAAAAGTTGCCGGACAATATCATCAGAGCTGAGAGGGCACTGAAAGCGGAGCAATTGAAGTACGACAACTTGCTGCACATCAAGCCCAATATTCTGAAGGTTCAGGAGCTGAAGAACTCTTTGCCCCAAAAGAAAGAGGAGTTGCGAAAAGTCGAGGAGCTGCTCGGAGATAGCGTCAGCGAATATGAGACGTTGCTTGCTCTGATTGGCGAGCCCACGCAGAACATGGAGTTGGCGAACTCCATGATGGGGGACATGACCCTATTGGACGCGGCTTTAATGGACTCGGGTCGGCTAACAAAAGATCTGGATCAGCAGAGGGTAAGTGGCTACTTAGCTAAGATTAACATATAATCACATATTTTTATTTTAGGCCAAGTTACCAGCTTCCTATGATTCGAGTGTTTCGATGGATGCTCTGCAGGCGGAGAAGAGCCAGGTTTCCAAAGATTTGGAGGCGGAACGCAAGGAGTTGGACTCCACTCAAAACGCATTCCAACAGCAAATGGATGCCCTAAACCGTTTGCGCGAAAAGAAAAATAGGTAATGCTATGCAGCCCGTAGATCTCCAAAAAATATATAGACTTCCGTCTTTACAGCTTGAAAGATAGGCAAATACATCTACAGGAGGGTCTGCAAAGTCTGCCACAGTTAAAGGAGCGTTTGAGCAAGCTCAATACTTTTCTTGCCACAGTAGCCACTGAAATAAGTGAACTAAAGGCCAAAATTCAGCCCCTAAGGCAGAATCTGAAATCTGCCATAGACGAAAAAGAACGCTTAAAGGAAAGTGAAAAAGTCAAGCTTGCTCAGTTGAATAGCAAATATAATTCATACAAAAGTGCGGATCAGGACATACAAAGGTAGTTAAAATAAACCCCAACAACTTGCCTTAATCTAATTTTATTTACGTTTTAGATTAAATACCGAAGCTCAGGAGTATAGCAAGTTGAATCTTCAAAATGAAATCAAGAAACTTGAAGAGAATAAAAAGACCCTCAAAGAGCAGCTGAGAAAATTGGCAAGAATTGTAAAGTATAAAATAAGCACAAAAGATTTATTTTATGTTTTTCAGGAAATCGAAGTCTCATTGAAAACCGATGACCTGGAGACTATTAAAACAGAATGCCTCAACCAGCAGACCGTTGAACGAGATCTAAAGGACAATCGCGAGCTAAAACAGCTCCAGGAAAAGGAAGCCAAGCTGAGCGAAGCCTGCAAGACGCTAGACAAGCAACTGGGTAACCTAGACTTCCGCAGCGTTAGCAAAGAGAAAGTGGAGCTGACCAAGCGGCGGGATAAGGCCACCGTGCGTAAGGGCGAGCTGCTGGGCCAGCAGGGCGAGATTAACAGCCAGGTGAACAAGTTGAAGCGGGAAATCGATGAGCCCAGATTTAAGGAGTCCCTTAAGAACTTCCACAAGGCCAACTATGAGCTGATGGTGACCCGTCTCAGCATCGAGGACTTGGGCCAGCATCGTCTGGCCTTGGAGTGGGCCCTGATCCAGTTCCATGCCGAGAAGATGGAGAAGATTAACCGCCTGATACGCGAGTACTGGCGCATGATTTATCGCGGCAACGACATTGACTATATCCAGGTGAAGACGGACGAGGTCAGCCCGGATGCTGCGGCGGACCGCCGCAAGACCTACAACTACCGAGTGGTCCAGTCGAAGAACAACACGGAGATCGAGATGCGGGGACGCTGCAGTGCTGGCCAGCGCGTCCTCGCCTCGCTCATTATCCGCTTGGCGCTGGCCGAGACGTTCAGCAGTAATTGCGGCGTCCTCGCCTTGGACGAGCCCACAACGAACTTGGATCGCATCAATATAACCTCACTGTGCGATGCCCTCAACTGCATCGTGGAGGAGCGCCAAAGCCAGTCCAACTTCATGCTCATCATCATTACCCATGACGAGAATTTCATCTCGTCGCTGGGCAAGATCAACAGCTACCATCGGGTCTTTCGCAACGATGAGTGCAAATCTGTTATTCGGAAAGTGCAGGTCGGCTAAATGGCCTATAAAAAAAGGGTTTTCAAACATGTTAAAAAACAGTTAATACCTATATCAAATTTTTCTTTCAAAAAATGTTATTTTGTTTTTAGTCCACCACGACCGTGTGCTATAAAATATTCGTGAAACATTTGTGGAAAATACTGATTTTAAAGGCGTTTAAACCGAATGTCAGTTAGTATTTGAGTTGTAAGCCAAGGCAATTCTGACTTTGGTTGAGTTCAACATCATCACTCCTACTATTCTACTCTTTAATAAATATTATTCCCAGTTCGGGTTTAAACATTTTTTTTTGTGTTAAATGTTATTGTTTATTTTATTTTTTTGTAGCTAAATGGTTTTAAAATGACGTCAGAGTATTTTATTTACTCTCGTGAGGATGAGCTTATTTTGGAAGGTATAACGTAAAAAAACAACAATCTATTTCGTTGTTAATTTTTAGCTTCCAAAATTCCAATTTAAAATGGAAAACTTTTAAATGCTAAAAATCTTTTTTTATTTAATATTTTAATTTTTATAAATGATTCACGGTTTATAGCGTGATTCCATTGGCGCCGTAGAGGACTGTTTAAATGTGACTGATTTTATTGGCGCATTTAGCCAAATTCCAATGTTTCTCCGACATGTGAATGACACGAACAGCTGAAATGGGATTGTTTACTTTTGAATTAACGGAAATCCAAACGAAATGAATTTAAAATCATGAATATGAATGAATTTTCGAAACTCTTGAATGCTCCGCAGGACATCCAAAATGCTATCGAGCCATTTGCCAACTTGGAGGACAAGAAAGGGCAGCTGATGGTGATGCATTAATGAATTGTGGTACTGCTACCAGGATTTGCTGCGAGTGCTCTTGATTTCAGTAATTTTTATGCAAAATAGATTTTATATCCGAAAGAAATCATAAAATCCGCCATACTTGCCTATAAAATACTGCTGTGTTAGTAGTGGCACTAACGAAATATCGTTAACTATCGGTTTTTTTTCTAGACACGAATGACTTTCAATCCCATTTATTTTAAATGCGGCACTAATGGCACTAAATAAATGCAAATTAAGTTAAACGCGCCAATAGATTCAGTCTATTACTTTTACGATTTTGCTCTGTGTGAATGTTTGCTTAATTTATTCCGCATCAACTTTTAATGGGGCTGTGTGTGAATGGGCTATTTTACACATTAACAGCTGATAGAGATGCCACCGCACGGCGCAGTTATGTTTACACTTGCGATCAATTGGCGCGAATGTTTTAAGATCGTGAGTTACACCGAATTACTGAACCGCCAGTCAATGATTTCTTTCACACCCAGATCCTTCCGCTACACACGATGAAACGGGCCAAGACGACAAAGGCAGGTCCCTCCAAGAAGGCCACAAAAAAGCAGGAGGGCAACCGGAAAGAAGAGTCCAAAGATAGCCAGGAGAGCACGGAAGAGGAGGCTTCTCCTTCGAAGGCTTCGTCCGCTTCCAAGCCGGACTACCAGAACTTCGATCAGTTCCTCACCCACCTGGAAGTCCAGAGGTTCTCCACGGCAGACAGCATTAAGGAATTCTCCTTCCGAAAGAAACGAGTGCGCGTTCTGTCGAAAAACGAAGATGTGGAGGAGTCCAGCAAAGGAGGCGTCGTCTACTGGATGTCCCGCGATGGGCGCGTCCAAGACAACTGGGCCCTCCTCTTCGCCCAGCGTTTGGCTCTCAAACTGGAACTGCCGCTGTCGGTGGTCTTCTGCCTCGTCCCCAAGTTCCTGAATGCCACAATTAGGCACTACAAGTTCATGATGGGCGGCCTGCAGGAGGTGGAGCAGCAGTGCCGCACTCTGGACATACCCTTCCACCTGCTCATAGGTCCGCCCGTAGAGCGGCTGCCGGATTTTGTGAAAACCAATGACATAGGTGCCGTAGTCTGCGATTTTTCCCCTCTGCGTCTGCCCCGTCAGTGGGTCGATGATGTGGGCAAGGCGCTGCCCAAGAGTGTGCCTCTCGTCCAGGTCGATGCCCACAATGTGGTCCCTCTGTGGGTGGCTTCGGACAAACAGGAGTATGCGGCTCGCACCATTCGCAACAAGATCAACTCAAAGCTGGATGAGTTTCTCAGCGAATTTCCACCGGTTGTGCCGCATCCCCATGGATCGGGATGCAAGGGGGCCAAAGCCGTGGACTGGCCAGCTGCCTATGCCAAGCTGCAGTGCGACATGGACGTGGACGAGGTGCAGGGGGCCCAGCCGGGCTACAAGGCGGCATGCCAGCAACTCTACGAGTTTTGCAGTCGTCGCCTGCGACATTTCAATGACAAGCGCAACGATCCCACGGCAGATGCCTTGTCCGGTCTGTCGCCTTGGCTGCACTTCGGCCAGATTTCAGCCCAGCGATGCGCCCTGGAGGTGCAGCGCTTCCGAGGTCAACACAAGGCCTCGGCGGATGCCTTTTGCGAGGAGGCCATTGTGCGTCGTGAGCTGGCGGATAACTTTTGCTACTACAATGAGCACTACGACAGTCTGAAAGGTCTCAGCTCGTGGGCATATCAAACCCTGGATGCCCACCGCAAGGACAAAAGAGATCCATGCTACAACCTGGAGGAACTAGAGAAGGTATACTGCTGCAACACTTCCTGAGGGCTTTGAAATGATTAAGGTAGTTCTATTTTTTTTAGTCCCTAACCTACGACGACCTGTGGAACTCGGCGCAACTGCAGCTGGTGCGCGAGGGCAAGATGCACGGCTTCTTGCGCATGTACTGGGCCAAAAAGATTCTCGAATGGACCGCCACGCCGGAACTGGCGCTGGAGTACGCGATCCTGCTAAACGACAAGTACAGCCTTGATGGACGCGATCCCAACGGCTACGTGGGCTGCATGTGGTCCATCGGCGGCGTCCACGATATGGGATGGAAGGAGCGCGCCATTTTCGGCAAGGTTCGGTACATGAACTATCAGGGCTGCCGGCGCAAGTTCGATGTGAACGCCTTCGTAATGCGCTATGGGGGCAAGGTGCACAAGAATAAATAAACTTTGGATGTCTTTGCCTTAGTTTTGAACGCAAGCCAAAAGTGTTTTTGTATTTAACCGTAGTTCCGAGGAGAGGCTTTATAAAATATGAAAAAATTATAGCTAGCGGGCAGAACTTAGTCCTTTTCGGCGATCTTGGTGAGGTGCTCCTCGACCTCTCGCTCGTCCAGAATGCGGAAAGTGGGATCCGTCTTGCTGACCACGCCGATCTCGATGCCGTTGGGCTTGAAGTCGATGGCTAGCACACTGGACAGACAGGTGATGGCCAGCTGGATGGCCTTCTCCTCGGACAAGTTGTTCTTGTACTTCTTCTCCAGATAGCTGTTGGCCTCCAGTGTCTTGGCCCCCACGGAGCATGCCCTGAAGCCACTGAAGTAGCCAGCCGGATCCGTCTTGTAAACGCTGGGTCCGATCTCGTTGTCGTAGGCGATCAGCACCATGCTGCAGCCGAGCGGACGCATCTCGGCGTTCTGGGTGTACACCTGGTTGATGTCGGCGATCCGCCGGCACAGCACATCCACGGGCATATCGTAGCCGTACTTGTAGCGGAAGTTGGCGGCCTCGTACCTGGCCTTCTGCACCTGCGACCGGGAATCAGCTGGGGGAGGAAAAAGATGGAAGAAGGCATTATGTACAGGTCTGGTGCTTAAGTTGTTTGCTTCGACCTAATCAATACTTATATAAACTGTTTATACGTATTAAATCAAAATACAAAATCAAGCCCATAAAGAGTTTAACCTAATGGCTAACACTAAGTCTAAAAATTCTGTAACACCGATCGTTTTTAAGGTGCTTTGTCAAACCCACCATCCAAAAAATCGTAAGAGATTTCTGGCTCGAGCACGCTTATGAACCGACGATGCAATGCATTGAAATTATCCGATTACTACAGGACTTTTAGCTCGACTTATGCCCGCATCAACAATGACTTAAAGGAAGAGTTATGCATACCCATGCGTCCTGTCATGGCGCATCCAATTTCCTTGGTGATGCGGAACAGGTGGGTCACCGTCTCGGGCACGATGTTCTTTTCGGTCACCTTCTTTTGAGTGGCCACCACGGCACAGTCGCCGCTCTTCAGCGCTACCGTGGTGATGTTCTCCTGGGCGATGGCCTTGAAGGCGTACTCTGGCGGGGATTGGGGAACATTAGAGTGCGTGCGGAGGAGCTGCGCGTCCAGAGTACTTACCCACTTGGTAGAGGCGTCCCTCGGGCGAGAAGATCGTGATGTGTCTGTCAAAGCCGGCTGAACTTCCGCGAGACATGATGCGTGTTTCTTGATTCGGTAGCTGCAATTACTTAAAGCCGGTTAAAATGAAGCGAAAAAGAGTTGAAAACAACACACCTTTCGAACAATAACAATAATTTGTATATGGCCGAGAAAAGTCGCTTCAAATCGAACCTACTGTGCAAAATTCAGATTGTCATTCTCAACCCGACAATGGGCCTAAAAATTACCAAAAAGCAACGCGCCTTGGGATTTATCGGCTATCGTTATTATCGAGTATGGAAAAAAAGCTGATTATAAAAATAGCCAAATATTATGCTCTAATACCGTCTTCACACAACTGCTTAATTGAAAAAATTTTTGCGACCCAATCACACAGACGCAATATATTGCAAGAGCTGCAGCAGAAGAGAACATACAAATTAACATACAAATAATCAATTAAAATTTTATCCATTGGGGAGCGTTAACCTCATAGGATCTTACTTAATTTTCTACTAAGTGTTGCCTAGAAACCAGGACTATATGGAAATTTTTGGCATGGGACCACCGTTTGAACCATCCGAAAATTAATGGTTGAGGGTTCTTTGAAGGAATATGCTTTTAAAAAGCTAGATTTAGCTTGGAAAGACACAAAAATCCACCACTAGAGCTGTTTTGACTATCGACAATCGATAACAACTCGGTGCCGTGAGTAAATGGCGGCCCACCTCTAACTGGATATATCCATTGGGACAAATTGGAGGTAAATATTTATCAATAACAGCGGAGTACGCTGAAATCGGGAATTATTTCGAAGCCAAGTGCGAGTCGCCGGCAGCGAAAATGCACGAGGATGATCTGAAGAGTCAGTTAACCATTGCGCGAAACGAAATCAATAATCTGAGGTGCGTTTGTGACACTAAACGGTGTCCTTTTGCGACTGGTAAAGTTCAAGTTCACACCGATTTTGCCTTGACCATGATGCAGGCAGCAAGTGCGCAACCTGCAGCATGTGCAGCGCAAGGACATCGAAACGATAAACCGCCTACTGCAGGACTTCCGCTGCGAGGGCTGTGCCAGCAACAACAACAAGAGCGCCAAGGACAAGGTCGCCGGCGAGAAGCAGGAGCAGCAGCAGGCGCAGGAGCAGCAGCAGGAGCCGGGACAAGGTCAGGTGCGTTTGACCCTCCCACACACAACACAGCAAGAAACACACAAACCTTCAAAACCATCCTCCACCGCAGAGCAATCACACCAATGGAGGAAACAGCTTTGGAGAGGACTACTCCCACTTCCGCCCAATCGGAGTGATCCGGACGGCCTTCCCGGAGAAGAGAGCCGTACCCAGGCAGTCCATTGTGGGCAGTCGCCTGCGCGGTATCATCCAGCTGAACGACGGCGTCTTTACCAATCCGGAGCACTCGCTGGAGGGTCTGGGCGAATTTTCGCATCTGTGGCTCATCTATCACTTCCATCGCAACAATGCCCACCCCAAGGCCAAGGTGGCGCCTCCGCGTCTCGGGGGCGAGCGGGTGGGTGTGTTCTCAACACGGTCCCCACACCGCCCGTGTCCCATTGGGCTCTCTTTGGTGGAGATTGAGAAGATCGAGAACGCCACCATCAGCTTCTTTGGCACGGACATGGTGGATGGGACCCCGGTGCTGGACATCAAGCCCTACATTCCATACTACGATGCGCCATCCTTGAGCGTGGACTCAGGTACGTGGGCGACCGCAAACCGGAAAGCCAACTAAAATTCTTGCCCCGGACAGGACGCACCTCTGTGGGACCGCATGAGAACAGCCTGGACTTTTACGACTCCCGGCAGGAGCCCGACGGCGAGGAATCGGACCTGGAGCTGTACGGAGCAGCTGGTTACACCGGCAACTCGGGCATTGGAGCGGACGCCGTGCTGCCGCCACCGAGCGCTGTGCGAGTGCCCAACTGGGTGGTGGCGAGCAACCGTCTAAGCGTGAACTTCAACGAGCACGCCGAGGCGCAGCTGAAGGAACTGCAGGTGGAGAAGCAGTGTATCGTGGACATTCTGGAGGCGGATCCGCGCTCTGTTTACTTGCGCACAAAATACGGCTCACAAATATTCACCTTCCAGCTGCGGGAGGTCACGGTGACGTGCAAATTTGACGACAAGGCCGCCACGGTGACTGTTGTTCAGGTCCGGCGCAACGAGAACGTGCAGGTTACCGCATTGGACGGCGATCTGCGAAGCGCCTAAATTACGGATTATTGCAATTGATATTCGTTTATTAACGATTTGTGTTTAGCTTAAGTATTTCGTGTTGAGGAGCTTTAACCTTTGGCGTTTCAATTTTGCTCTAGGACAAGGGACATTTTGAAATAAATGTACCAGGCTTGTTTCCCACGCAAAATGTATCGTTTTATTTAAACTAAGTGTATGGGTTAATCTGTTTAGATTACGTTTATTTCAGTTACCTAATTTGTAATTATTTTTACTTTCAGCATTATGGGCGATTTAAGCTGGAAAGACTTTTTGAGCCAGGCTAAGCAGTTCCTTAACATTTCCCAGCAGTTGGACGATGGCTGGACAATGGAGGAAAAGGTATGTAGCCAAGGTATTTGAATGACCTATTTTATTCAAATAGTTGCAATCCTTTTGATATAGGACTCGAATGAACCGAACACCTTCCTCAAGTTCGAACAAAAAATTAAGTATAAAAGCGAAAAGGATAATTTAGGGGAGTTGGTTAATGCAGAGTATCATGTGGTCTACAGTGTTTCCTACCAAGTGCCTATGCTCTTTTTCCAAACGCACAGATCAGGTATTTAAACTGAATTTAAAGCCAAGAAATATACTATAAATTTTATTAACTTACAGATGGAAGCCTTCTGGACTTGGAGGCTACTTGGCAGCTATTTATGCCAGAAACAAAAGGTAGCGGTCTCTACCAGGTGCTCACCCAAATGGATCACCCCGTGCTCTTCAGACCTTTCATGGCACTGCATCCATGTCGCACCGCCGAGGTCCTTACACAATTCGGACAGCCCAGTAAAAATCAGGTGCTTACCTTCATTAGTCTTTACGGACCCCATGTGCAGTTGCGCCTGCAAAATGCATACGGCCTCAGTCAAGAATACACATAAGTTGCATTTATTGGTGGTTGTTTTAAACACTGGTTATAGGAGTATACATGTGTGGATAATATGGCATATGTAATTTACAGTTTTATATTCAATTCGCTACTTTAAAGTGGTTTGACCTTTACATCGAATATGCTAAATTTGAGGACATCGAGAGCCTCATTTCTTCTAATACTTGGCACAAGTGAAGATCCAAATCGTACAGTAGATACGGGATAAAGTTATATAGCGACCATTCTACTTTTCACAGCTAAAGCAACACTTCAGTTGTAAATTGCAAGGTAAAAGAAAATCCGTTAATAAATCTACAAAAGGAACCAAGCTTTGTACACTGATTATAACTCCGCTTATGGGAGACATTGATCTACCTACGCATTTAATACCGTAAGTCTAACGTAGTATATAGTTTGCAAGTTCCACTCGTCCTCTTCCCTAATTCAACTGGTAATATCAATTAGTAGTTGTTCAATTATAGAGCTATTTTTAGACAAGTATGTATATGCTTAAGGCTAATTGTACTGTACAAAAGCATGGCCTTAGTCGATCCGCTTTGCTTTGCATTTACTAATGTTAAGTGGTTCATTTATAATTAATGTTAACTGGCTACTGTGTGGCATTAGCGGCACCCCGGCGCCAACACAAAATCCTTCTGTTCCTGGCGAAACCTAGGACTTGTGGGCCCGAGGAATCGCATTGAAAATGTTTATTTGCAAAATTAAATTGATTTTAATGTTTATTACGTGGGCTTTGCATCGTAACCCGACAGAATACACGTTCACGTACATTGATATTATTTGCTTCCTGTTGACAGGATGTCGTGTCAGAAGATTAATGGTGTATGTATTACGAAATTTCTCTAGAGGAAGTTCATAGGTGAATATAATGGCACAACGAGAACTTAATTTGGTCTGGAAAAACTTCTACGATATGAATCAGCTAAACTATATAAAATGCCGTTTTCTAAGTTTAATTCCCAAGCAAGCAAGTTAGTCACTTAATGGGACTAAGGATTTCCCTGTCTATAAGGACATATATTAAATTGCGAGTATATCCATTTCAACTATTATCTGAGTTTCCTTCTACAAAAGGTATATTGTTTTTTAGTTATTTTAAATAAGTACTTTTAAATTTAATAATTTACCTTAATATTTTTATGGGTGTACCATTTAACAAACAAGACTTTTTTATATAGTTTTACCTTTTGAGATTTGCACTACTTCCTGCTTTGTTTTTTTTTTTAAATTTAAATAGGGTCTGGCAAAATGTTAACAAACGTTAAAGAAAATTCTTAAAACACCAAATAAAATTGGGTGCTGTTTAGTTATTTAAAATTCATATGGAATGTAGGTTTTCAATCTAAAAACTTTTTTTGGTGGGTAGATTTTGGCCCTTCCAATGTTTATTTCTTGCCCCGTTTGATTTCTTTCTTTATCGATGAGTATTGTGTTTGTGAGGACCTTATTGGCACTAAGCATACATATACGAATTTACGAAATATACACGCTATGGTATTGTTTAACATCCAATTCATCTCATCTCAATATATGTATTCATATATAAAATTTCATTTAAAGCTGCACCATTTAGTTGACATTTGCATATCAAGTTACATTTGTTTTATCTATATACAATATAAAGTACTAAAAAAAATAAAAGTTCGTAGATCAGTGGCGAGTGCTGCCCAAAAGCAATCTCTCTAGCGAAAGTCAATGATATGTTTCTTTCTAGGGTTCGACATTAGTTCTCGATCATGGCAACACCCGCCACTGGCGATGACGGAATAAATTACTTAAGCCTAAGGCAAAAACTAGCACTAACATGCTGTTAGTATTGGTTTGTTTTTCTGGTTGTTTGGTTGGTCTCCTTTTAGTTGCATTATTGGACAATTTTCGCTATGTTATCGTTTTTAAAGTGTTCTTAAAATATCCTGTGGCACTGTACACCTAAAGCCTTCGCACGCTGGCTCGGGGATGCCCCGATTTCGTACTGGTATTGCTATGTATATACAGCTTCCGCACTCGGATCCCATTGGAATGGACTTGACTCGGTTGTATATTTGGCTACTCTAACACTAAATATAAAGCTCTGAAACTCACTCGACATACATACAAACATACGAATACATATAGCACATCTACACTATCATAAGGGGGAAGCCTTAACCTAGGATAAACCAATTCGATGCGATCGTGGGTGGACTAGGACTAAAGCTATTCACGCTAGGCTATATTATGGACGGTGGTGCTCCTAGAGACGATCCGAAAGTCATCATCCAGCTCATCGGCGGACTCGGGCGCGTTTCCGCCCATGAAGTCGCTCGATGCGCTGCGCCTGAATCAGCTGCACAGTAAGTTGAAGAACCCGCGTCCCTTCTCCGATCGCGGCGCCATCAGCATCGGCACCTGGTTCTTGTGGGTCACCTTGATCTGGGCCAGAGTAATCGAATGTTATGTTAGACCCGTTCAAGCATTTAACACACCCATCTCACCGTGCAGGGCATCTGCATCCAGGGCTCGCCATCGATCTGCATAGGAAACGTTTTCTTCGTCCTGATGATCACCTCGCTGCACTGGGCCAGTCGGCGACCCGAAGCTCGCAGTCCGGTTCTCACCTGTCCCATGTGCAGGCAGTTCTCCAGGCCAATCACCTCGATCAGGCGATCTCCGATGTCTGAAATTCGTAAATTTTATTATATTCTTCACTAATTAAAACATGCATAATAGATCTAATTCGCTCAATATTAAAATACGGGAAAAATGTCATGGTTTTTAATAAAAAAAGTGGCAAAAAAAAAAAAATGATAATACATTTACTCACTAACAATAATTAACCACAAAAAATAAAAAAATGTTTGAACGGATTATTTTTCATTATTGATATCGTAATCAGTCATTTCTTTTAAAAATTAATATTAAAATAAAAATCGTTCCTTTATTATACCATTTTTGAAAGGAAAATCGTTTATATATATATATATATATATATATATATATTTAAAACAAAAAATAAGTTAATACAAAATACTATAATTTGTTTTTCTCTTTGCTACCATTGAACTCAGAATCAAGTCGATGCCTTTTAACAATTAACATTTAAATTAAAAATTTTCTTTTCTTGTACCACTTTTGAAAAAAAAATTGTTCAATTTATAAATTGAAGCAAATTTTTATAAATCGTTTTCTTTGAATATCGATTAATGTGGCTTACAGTGATTTTAGGTTTTTTTTTTACAAGTTTTACTGTTTTTAGATATCTTGAGGACATCAAAAAGAGCTTTCTAAAGCATAAAAACAGCTTAACTTTAAGCCAGTGAGTTAGATTCGTTATATTTTCAGAGCCTTAGCCCACCTTGTATGGCCACCGAGAGGTCCGCGGAATTGAAACTGGTGGCCGAGAACTCCTTGTCGCCCGCCCGGAGCTTCTTGCTCTTGCCGAAGGGCCCGGCGCTCTTGCGGATCCGCTTTTGGGACAGGTGCTCGCCCCACAGGTTGGAGCCGCCATGTGTGTACGGGATGTTGAGCAGGGCCACACCCTGCAGATGGGGTCCGTTGGCCAGGTCCAGAGCCACGCCATCGCACTGCAAGTAACCAGCATCCATTAATAAATCAGCGATGACAGGAACCCCTTCCCTCCCACTTTTCTCCACTGCCCCTACCCTACCCACTTACCACAATTTCGATGCTCTCGTGGAGATTCTTGCAGGATGCCGCAAATGTCTCGGATGTTGCATATTCGAAGTACCAGAGCTTGTTCTTCATGCGGCTGTTGAATTTGTGCGGGTTCTTCTCCCTCTCCAAGTGGAACTTGACGCAGATGGCGGCGTCCTGGGGAAACAGAGGGAATGCGGGGTGGTTGAGAGCAAGGCCAATCGAAAGGTCATCGGAGAAGCGGTCCATTCAGGGTCACGTTCGGATTGCACTCGACTGCGAGTTCTATTTCTATTTTCCATTTAGACTTTCCGAGAAATCGTCAATGGACTGATACCAAGGCTGTCATGGCAATGCGATGAGATTGGCACTGCCAAGCCGCATAAATGTTAATTAATGTTGGATAAGACATCTAACTTGTAACAAAAAAGGTGAAGGCCAGATTAAGATTCCTAAAACTTCCAAAAAATTCAAGGAAAGTAGGATTTATCGAGAAGTTTAAGACTGTTGCAAGCAATGTGTTAATCCAGAAGTAACAAGAATAACATTTTTACAATTGAACTTTTGGCATGTATGCAAGATGCATTTCCATGCATATATGTACTTGGAGTAGATTGAAGCTTGCATATCCCACCTCACATTTAAATTACTGCAATATTGTTTTTATTACAATACCCATTTAAGCCGTTTAAAAACATATTAGTTTTAAAATGTAGGGATATTATAAATAAATACATTTAATCAATTTTAATGCTTCAATATTAATACTTCTAAAAAACAAAACTTAAGTAATTTAATCCAATTCCTTGTCATTTCGCTTAAAAAGTAGATTAGGTACTACAAACTGTACTGTTACTTTTTGTGGCCTGTTACCTAGTTGTGCTATTTTGGCCGAAAACGTACTTGGCAAGCTCACGTGCTCACTGTCTGTGCAAACGTGTTTGCTTAACGGGGCCGCAGGCACCTGGCAACTGGCAACTCCATTCACGGAAGAAGAAACGAACAGAGCTCTCTTATCGGCGGACGGCTGCATTTTAATTTCTTATGCGGATATTCGGTTGAGTGCCCGCCCAGTGCACAGTGCAGTGGGCCGGCGTTGCTCATACGACACGTTGCACATTCTGGCAGCGCATTTGTTATGCATGTCGCACAGCAAACACACACAGGCACGCACGGCTTTGGTCCTTCGCCGGACGGATGCAGGGCAAAGTGGTGGCGGCAGGACTTTCAATTAGGGCCTGTTGGTTACACAGCAAATAAGATTTATTACCGCTCCACGTCAAATTGAATTGTCAACATGAGCGAGCGCCTGCCAGAGCTTAAAATCGAAAAATCGACGAAAAACTTTTTAATTAGCTCCAGCCGCATTCCGCTTCCCGCCGTCCGCGTTCGTTGTCACTTTATGCACGGCCTGGGCGGTAAACTAATTTAGTGACAGCCCTGCTTATTAGCATGCCTCGACCGCACCACACCCATTTGTCGCAGGAGATGGTTTCTCCAGCTGACAGCTTGTTTGCATTGAGGAAAGTGGGCCAATGTGGTCCCAAAGCCAGCATAGTTGGTGGGTGCTGGCACTATAAAGGGCTGGGAGGCCAGAGGTTAATGAAATAATTTGTGTACCCAAACTGGCACGCTGGTGGCAGGCAAATTCCGATCTGACGTAGATAAGGCGAAAGCCCTTTTAGGCCACGGGGCGTATGAGCAACTCAGGTACCAAAGCCTGCCATAAAATGCGAATCCAGCCCCCGTTTCTGCGCCCTGCCACATAAAACTTGAGCCAAACTCAAAGTCGCAGTTCAGACAATTACACATCAACTCCAAAACAGCATCCACAGTTGCCAATCTCAAACAGTGGTGACGGGTTTTTAAGGAAAACCATTTCTCAGGCAAGAATCCAAAATGGTTTAATTTAACTTTTTTTTTAGAAAACTAAACTTTCATTTGACTTATAAAATATATGATTAACTATTGAGAACAATAAATAAAATTGTTTGTTAAAAAAAAATGGGTTTTCTGATATAAGAAATATTAATATTTCAATATAATAACTATTAATATTAAAGTCAAACGATGCTACATATTCTGAACGATGCTACATATTCTAATTGGTGAAAAGCCTTGAACATTTTAAATAGGTTTTATATTCTTAAGACCAAAATAAAGATCCAGAATCTTCGAATAAGATTAAGAATTCGCCGTGAAATCTGCAGAAAAATAAATAATTATGTTTTGTGGCTGTATTCATTTGTGATTCATTTGAAAGATAATTCCCCTCTTTCTCCTTCCTTAGAAAGTATTTAGAAAAAAAGCCAGATTTACCGGCTAAATGCTGAGCTCAACTCCCAAAACTTCCTGGAACTCGTACTTTTATCATCGTCGCTCAAGTTGGCGCTCAACGTCAATTGTTTGACGTTAAACCCAAGCGTCAGCGTGAAATACTTTTCATGCTGTATTACTCGAAGTGGGCGGTGGCTTTTCCGCCCGTTTTCCCCAAGGATGCTTGCTCCCAAGGAGCTGTGCCACTTGAGCACTCCCTCGTAGACCAGACACATGTTCGTGTACATGAGTGTTAAATGGATTTCGTGATGGGCCCAGGACAAAGAGCTCTCCGTGTGAAATGTGTCCGACAAGTGAAATCCCAGCAGCAGGAGCGGCAATCACATCATCGCCGGCAGTTTTGCTGTAGTCGCCTACTGTTTAAACAGACGCACATCAAGTCATAAATAAACTAACACACCACGCACACCAAAATATAGGGAAACCCAAGCCCGAAACGGAATCCTACCCACACGGGCACACGATTTTATTTCGGTTTCGGTGCGGATTTTGTGGGATCTGGTGTGCAATTGCCGGGCTCTGTGGCAGCAGCATTAGGCTGATTTCAGTGGCGCAGGGGAGCGCAAAATGTTTGCACAAAAAGGATTTCGGCTTTAGCCGCCACTTGACAAATGGTGTGACCTTACGCAGGCCAAAACCTACACAACCACCCACCCATCCTGTATTTTTGCACAGTAGAATACAAAAATATTCTGGGCGATGGTCGATGGTTATTGAACTAACAGTTTAGTTTCATTATGATATCTCTAAAGATGCACGTTATAAAAACTTGTTAAAAATCCTTTTAAATTTGTTTTGGTTTTAAAAATGTTGTGGCATATTAACACTCGCCTATTACTACAAAATGTATTTTAGATTTATCTGGCATTAGAGTTAGATGTCGGGTATCAAAAAACTTTCTAAACTGCTGATCATATATTATTTAAATAAAGCTGGATAAAAAATGTTAAGAGTAAAGAAGTTTAATATTTTAATAAAATATCATGTTTATGAAAGACTGACCCTTAAGTCCCGTATGTTGCTGTGTACTTCCACCGACCAATGGGCGTGTTTACACTCGCCGCAAACACACAAAAAAAGAAGGCTGATTTGTACCCTATTTCCGTTTTATTTGGCCTTCATTTCGTTTCTGCGGCCAGAACGGTGCTGTAAAGTTGTCACTTATCTTTGCTTTATGGCCCTCTTCAATCCAGGCCTGATACGCGGAGTGCAGGCCACTAAAAGTGTGAGTATCTGTGATTTGGCTGCTCTTTTCTTAGCTTCTCGGCCATTTTCATATCTCACATCATACTAAATTATTCAAATGCCCCTACGAAACTTTGCAAAGTTGTATCCTTCTTCTTGCTATTTGCTGTGTGGGAGTGTGTGGGCGTGGCTATACTATATGCCGGTCCCTGGGGCGCAATCTGTTTCTTTTTCCTGAGTTTGCGGTGTTTGGCGTCACCTTGAGCAGTTACTAATTTAACACTTGCTGGAAATTATAATGAGACAAGTTTCGTTCTGGCCACAGCTTGGGCATCGATTAATTTAAACGTTCTTGGCTATTTGGCCATTTTTGCGGGAATTTAGTAGTCGGTCGGTCACCAGCTAAGTGAATTCGAACGCCGGGAAAGTGTTGCCTAGCTTTCGGGGCCACTTTGATTGGAGTTTTCAAAGGATGGTAAGCGTTGGCATCTATTTGGTTTGAAAAGCTGGCAAAAGTGCAGACAAACAGAGCAAATTGCACCTGCATCTGCATCTGCACCTGCACCTGCCAATCGAGTGCATTGCAGCATCAATGATGCAAATGCGCAGCTGATGATTGTGTGCTTAACTCCTGCCAACTCGTTTGCATACTCCCGAGACCCAGCTCAAATTGCAAAAGTATCTGTATCTGGTATACTGCCCCTGAACCTGAACCTCCGCCTGCAACCGTACCTGTATCTGTATCTGTAGCTGCATCTGTAGCTGCATCTGTAGCTGTAGCTGTAGCTGTATTTGTACCTGAATCTGCAGTTGCGCCTCGGGCGTGTGGCATTCGACTTTTGTGGCAATCAGGCACTTTGCATGCGGAACGTGTTGCAACGCGGCAGAGTCTTCGACTAATCGCTAGGCACGATTCTGGTTCCAGGGGATATGGAAATTGCCACCTACCGGCCACATCTCCCCCTTCTCATTGAAAAGCGATTGTTTGCGTTCACCTCGCTCCTTGGTTATGAATGTACCCACCTAAAAGCGATTTCCTCGGAAATTTGCATCTGAAAGAGCACAACCTGCTTTGAAGGTTATTCATTTGCGGGCGTTTTTTGGCCTGGATTTTTGGTAGAAAGTGTGCGGTGTCCTGGCCAAAACGTTGCATAAATGATTAAGTCGATTAAAATGAATTATTGAACAACCCCGAGTCGCTTGACTAAAAGTCAGCGGACATTGCCCTTAATATTATTGGCCCTTTAGGACTATTGGAAATAAGAACTGGTAATTTCGAAATTCGACACTTGATAAAAATCTTCTTTGTTTTCAAATCTGCTAACTAAAATAATTAATTTAAAACATTTAGTAGAAAGCTTTTGCCGGATACATTTAAAACCTATAATCCCTCAAGCTTAAACAACCTGGTTTAATTAAATTTGAATAAGGAATACGACTGCAATAGCTTGCCATTACAGTTTTAATCCCGTAAAACTTTCTCCAGTCTGTAAATGCTAAACATTTCCTAAATTTCTTATTTAAAATTCTGTTTTGATTACTAGTACACCTACACAAAAGCCAAATTTACCGGCCATCACTTCAAGACAAAGGCTAAAGCTTTGCGACGCGATTTCCTTGGGTAATTAAATTTGTCCTGGCGGACGAGCTTGTCAAATGCAAATCCCATGTCAACAGCCACGACAGCTCGTCCTCGCTAATTATGAAAATTGTTATTATAGTTGCTCCTCCGACAGTGCATGTGGCCACAGCTGATGACATGGACATGGACATGGACCAGGATGGCAAACACAAGTAGCACAGCACTGTGAATCGGAACGGAAACGGCATGACAACCGCCGGCTTAGCGCCTGACATGTGACGGAGTGAAGCATGATCTGGACACGATGGTATTAATCGAAGCAACGAATCGGAATCACAACTCTACACAGAGAGAAATATTCAAGTGTATTACACTCAATCTGAAAACTTGGGTACATAAATGATTTATTTGGAGCATGTTGTTCTCAGAATGAGAATCGGCCAAAATAAATCAGTTAAAAATGAAATATCCATTTTCTTTCAATTTAATTGTTATAAATAAAGTAATTTAGTCTAAAACGACCGTTACACCACTCCTACACTTCGGTCTTTTAAGTCACCACGTAGTTCTAAAATTGTTTGTTTATAAATTCATAATAAATTTGTATATTATCAATTTCGTAAAATGAAATCACATGCCTCGACTAAGAAACGAACCCGGGACCTTACGCACTCTAGATATAATCCCTACACATTTGTCCACGCACCTTCTATTTTCGATGAAAAGGCGAATTCGAATGTCAAAACCACAGATTTTGAATGAATTTTGTTTCTCTTATTTTAAAAACATTTTTCTCAAATCCAAAATTAAAGTACACATATCCTAAAAGTGATCAATTTAATTTTTTTTTAAATGAGTGCAAAGTACAAATTTTAAGAATTCAAAATCTTAGTTCCTGCACGTCGAAATTTTCTCTGTGTAGGAACTGTAAAACAGGGAATGCATTTTATCGATTCCTCTGGTGACACTCAAACAAGAAGAAAACGTGGTAAAATCATTCGGGTGCAGTTGGATGCCCTGATACAAAAAAAGGGTTTCATAAAAACAAAATTGTGATCAGTGAGTCCAACTGCACTGAAAAACCATACTTATATATCTGCAGAAAATTACATTAATTTAAAATTAGATAACATGCTCAACTATAACGTTCTGCGGTAAAAGTGTGACAAATGCAAGGCCATTAAACTTGTAATGTTGTTTGGTTTAGTGCCTGCAATGGAGCGTACTCACCACGCCGACGGAGAAATAGTTGTTGATAATGTTGTAGGGCACCGTGCAGTCCTTGTCACATTGCACTTTGATGGGCTTCTGCTGTTCGAACTGCAGATGTTGCTGCTGTGCCGGCACACTCGACGAGGCGTTCGGTGTTGTGGGTGTGATTGGGGTTGCTGCAATGCTGTTGCTGCCATTGCCATTGCCATCGCCATCTCCATCTCCATCGTCATTGCCACCTTCTTCATGGTCGGACAAATCCAACGACAATGTAATTTGCTGTTTAAGGATGTTGTTTTGCTTATTGTGCTGGCTATTATTATCGCTTTGATTATTCCCAACTGGCGTTGCTGTTGCAGCTTCCTCAGCAGCATCCGATGCGGCTCCTTGTTGCTGCTGCTGCTGCTGTTGCTGCTGCTGTTGCAGCTGTTGTTTGTGCTGCAGCAGCAGCGTCTCAAGTGACTGCTTCTCCGTCTCGTCCGACCTCCTGGCCAAGGATTTTGGCCGGACTTCGGCTTCGACAACGGCTTCCGTTTCCGCATCCTGGTTGCCGTTGCAGGGACTGCCGCTGCTCGTGTTGCTGCTGCTGCTGCTGAAGGTGGAGCGCAGGGTCTTCCGCAGGCACTGCGTTTCGAAGGTGGACATCGAAATGCTCTTGGTGGTGGTCGTCCGTGTGGTGGTGCTGTTGCTGTTGCCGAACTCCACCGTGGCCATCTCCATTTCCGTTTCCGTTTCCGTCTCGCTGGCCATCATAATCGATGTGGTGGAGGCGGCCCTGGCTGCCTGCTTGCTCTGGCGCTGAATTTCCTCGAATCGCTCCATCAGCGACTTGTCGACCACAACACTTTGCGACAGCTCAATCACCTTCTGCATATTCGAGTGCAGCGTCACCTGCAGCGGGAAAAGTGGAGAAAGGGGAAAACTTGGCTTAGCAGTTGTCAGTCGGCGAGCACAAATCGTGTATTATGGTGAAGTTTTGCGGATGCAGGTTGCCAGCGTCAGCACCACGCCTTCCAACCAGCCAAATTAGTTTCTGAATCGTTTTGCCTTCATGGCGGGGGAGAGGAAATGGTGTGCGTGGTAAGCGCTTTGTGGCCAATAATTGGATTTTCCTGCTGGTACAGTCTTGCCACGCCCACCACAGCCTACTCCGGGTGGCCCAGTATGCCAATTCGATTTGATATGCGGAAAAAATATAGTAAGGCTAGTTAATTAGGCCAGATAAAGCAATAAATGGAACAAGAATTGCCCAAAATTGAATGTGTTCTGGGATCTATTTGGCTAAGGATCAAATCTGCACACTTGTACCTTCGGTCATGTTGCCGATGGCGATGAAAAAGGTTCCAACTAACTCAACTAAGCGGTAATAAGAACAAAAACACGTTTCTAAATTTAACTTAGGTTAAATACCTTTCTCACCATATTTAAAGAAACAAAAGAGCTTGCTAAAAATTAGTAAAAAATACTTTTTTTTTCATACTCTTAAATTTGTTTGAAACTAGACTAGGGACGCGGAAATTGCCAAAATGCTGAACGATAAAATCAAACCGATTCTCAGACGCAAGCACAAAAATTTTTTTAAAAATTTATAATTGAATTCTTACAACATCAAAGAATAAGCTAAAAACACCATTGTCACTTTAGTTTATCGCATAGAATTTTAAAAACAATTAATTTCTGCTTTTGCGGATCTAAATGCATCGGCAAATGCTTTGCGAAAGTTTTCGTGAGTTTTTTTTAAGTTAGATGTGAATTAACAGAGGCAATTTAGATCCGTGTGAATCTGTGAAAACTGGAACTGGGCCGAATATATATTATTCATTTAAGCAATGATTAAGTTTCTTTTAACGATAAAGCAACTCAGCAAATTTTTATCTTTTTAACGGTTTGTCTTGATCAAACTCAATCAAACTTTGTTTCTAATTTTGGATTTTTGATAAATTGCTAATAAATTTTATAAAATATGAATACCCAGTTCAAGTAGTATTTTCCTTCCCCATTACTTACTTTTGGTCGCAGGTCTTCACTGGGCGGCGTGTTGGTGACCTCGATGCTCCATCGGTCCAGCATCACGGTAGAGGCTCTCCGGATCTTCTCCATGAGTTTAGGGATGTTCTCGCCCTCGTAGCCGCCGCCCCATCGGAGGCAGCGAGCTAAGTCGTTGCCCGTTCCAAGCGGAATCACTCCAATGGCAGGCTGACTGGCCAGCTCGATGGAATCTGCAGGACAAACACAAAAAAATCAGTCTTAAAATCTGTTAAATTTAAGGAACGTTTAACCCCAAAATCCTTCGATACAATCACAAACAAAACTATTTACAGAACCAGGTGAAGAACATTTATACAGTTTGTAATTACATTATTGCTTGGTGCCGTTTATTTAACCGTAAATTTAAGTTTTTTGAATCCCATCCTAGTAATCTTTAAATGTAAAGCGTAAATCTGTTAATCTTAATAAGATTCAAAATCATAGAATTATCTAATCATATTATATTTAAACCAGTTGACAAACAGCAAAGTTCAAATTTTGCTTACATATTTTTCCGAATATTCAAATAGGAGTAAATCTTCCGATTTAAATAAAAAAACTGTAGTTCTGAAATATCAAACAATTACTTTATCGCAAAGAATATTAAAAAAAATGTGAAAGCAACGATGCTATAATTGTTTCTGTTTCATTTTGTATTTTGATGATTGTTTTAAGGGCATATAGTCGCCTGATTTGCCTGATAAAAAACGTAGCCCTGTTTTATGTTTATTCATTACTCTATCTTAAAGAATATTAAATAAAATTATAAACAGCAAAGTTGTTTTTATACCCTTGCAGAGGGTATTATAATTTCAGTCAGAAGTTTGCAACGCAGTGAAGGAGACGTTTCCGACCCTATAAAGTATATATATTCTTGATCAGCATCACTAGTAGAGTCGATCTAGCCATGTCCGTCTGTCCGTCTGTCCGTCCGTCTGTCCGTCCGTCTGTCCGTCTGTCCGTCCGTTTATATGCAAACTAGTCTCTCAGTTTTAAAGCTATCTGCATGAAACTTTCCCAAAAGTTGTCTTTCTATTGCAGGTAGTATATAAGTCGGAACGAGCCGGATCGGACGACTATAGCATATAGCTCCCATAGGAACAATCGGAAAAATAAATGAAAAAAAATTATAACTTTGCTGTTTTTTAATTTTTTGTTTAGTTCTTCGACATATAGTAATGGTTAAATATTTCCGATTTACGGTTTAAATTTCATCAAAATCGGTCGACTATAGCATATAGCTCCCATAGGAACAATCGGAAAAATAAATGAAAAAAAATTATAACTTTGCTGTTTTTTAATTTTTTGTTTCGTTCTTCGAGATATAGTAATTGTTAAATATTTCAGAATTATGTTTTAAATTTCATCAAAATCGGACGACTATAGCATATAGCTCCCATAGGAACAATCGGAAAAATAATTGAAAAAAAATTATAACTTTTCTGTTTTTTAATTTTTTGTTTAGTTCTTCGACATATAGCAATGTTTAATTATTTCAGAATTATGGTTTAAATTTTATCAAAATCGGACGTCTATAGCATATAGCTCCCATAGAAATAATAAAAATATATAAAATAACTATCTAATAATTGAGCTGCAAATCATCATAGTTTCAATGTTTTTCAGCATATACTCAAGTAAATCATAATTTAAATGTTTTCAAAAGTATTTAATTCATGCAATAGCTGCAAGGGTATATGAACTTCGGCTTGCCGAAGTTTGCTTTCATTCTTGTTTAAAATAATTTATCCGGTGTGATATATATGATATATATGACAAAAACTAACTAGCTAAACTAAACTAATTTTCGGAAATCGAGAAAACTACAATGACAGGCGTTAAAAAATTGTAAATGGGCTGGTTGACTTCTTTGTTTTCTTGTTCTTGCTCGGAGATCATCAGATCATTTTTCGGATAATTTTCTTGCCACTCTGCTGAGTCATAAAATTAAAAGTAACCCCACTGTTAAACGTATATAATTTGCACTAATAATTTAATCCCGCCCAGCCGCTTCACTTACCCATGGCCTCTAGAACCCAGCCCACGGTGCCGTCGCCACCACAGCAGATGACCCTGAAGCGGGGCAGGTCCTTGAAGAGCGTAAGTCCTGGCAACGAGAGCGGAAATCAATCACCGTGCTTGAACGGCCATCACTCACACACACACACCCTCCTTGGGGCCGCCCTTGGATAGGTCGTACACCTGGCGCGGATTGAGCATGTACTGGAACTTCCGCAGGATGCGATCCCCCTGGCGACCGCCGCTCTTCGGATTGACAAACACCAGCAGCGGGCAGCTCAGCTCGTCCGGCGGCGTGATTTGGAAGTGGGTGGCCTGGTGGTGATGCATTTGGGATTTCTGGTTACGATTTCAGTGTATGTCATAAAAGTGGGTGGGCAGTAAGCAGCAGTTCCGATTGTTTCGTTTTTGTTTTTTTTTTTAATTTTGTTGGGGGAAAGTCAATTTTGAAAGGGGGTTAGTAAGCCAATTGCGAGGGGTTAGCGGGGCTATATTGCAGTACACAAAAATATAATATGAATATTTAATAAAAAAGCACATATATTCCTAACCTCCATTATATTTGAAATGTTGGTTACTTTAAAGAAAGAAAACAAAATAATCAAACATAATTAATATTCCTGATAAAAAAGTAATATTGAAAAAATTCAAAATAATGATAACTTATTTTTAATTGTCTCTGTAAAAACAAATCTAATTTCAAATTTTTTTGGCATAGACCGGTGAGGCGATTGTAGAACAAACTAAAAAGAAAAGTGCGGTGCTCACAGCCACATTTTACAAATTGAAAAGCCATAGTTAATCTTAATCTAAAAATAGTTTCCGAATGCAACTTTAAATAATTATTATATAAGTTTTAACTGGGAAAATGGAGAAGGTAGAAGGTAGAAGGTGGAACAGGAAAAATGTTTAAGATTTGCAATTGTACCTTGTGCGCCTGGTTGACGGAACGCTGGCGATCCAGGACAGCAGGACAGATGGCCGTGGGCGGTACCACCAGCTCGGCGTACTCCCCCAAAGTACATTCCTTCTTCACAGACGAGGCGCAGCGGTTGTGGAGCTGTCGAGGTGACGGGAGGGGGAAAGCAATTAAATTAGTGCGAGCGGCGGGCATCATCAAAATATATTTCAGGATATCGTGGCCTCATGGAAGTTTTACGCTTTTAAATTTAATTTCCACTTCAACGCTGGCCAAAAGCCACTTATGATGGGAAATGGGAGGGGGTGGCTCTAGCGTTTATTTCGCCTTAATGAATCCGATTAAAAGTTTGTTAGCGCCGACTACTCCACCCGCGGTGCAAGAAAAATGGTTAATTTTGGACTAAATGAGATTTAGCGGGGACTTTTCTTTCATTTAAATACCAATTTGGCTGAAGCGTTTTCTTGGCATTTTTCTAATGACCGCGTGGCTTCCTCTTTTGCATAACATTTTTTTTACAGCTGCGGCCTCTGATTTGGATTTGGTCATCCACTGATGACCAGGCTATAAACTTTTTGTTTTTTAATTAAATAAATCGATGGGAACGTCGGGAAAATGTTTTTTGGCTTTGGCAACTAAATTGTTCTTCTTTAGTTTTAAACAAAAATATTACGTTTTCGTGATAGTATATTGAATATTTGGTGGATTCGTTTTAATATTAAATATAAATTAAATAATTAATTAGATAAACGAAGTAGAAACTATCTTTGTTTGAAAACGCCAAATTGCTTGGAAAAATTGATTTTTAAATCGAAAAAAGGTAGTTCTTAATAAACCACTATAGTATATTGATACTTTATTATACGAATTGCAGTGATGAAGAATTTCATGCCGGAGGACAGCACGACAACCACACTTCCCTCTTATCGTGGGCCAAACTTTAAGCACACACAGACACATCCACTCAAAATGCAAAGTTATTGACTGTCAAAAGCGTCGGCAACGTTTTGCTTACAAAGTATTTGCCGATGCAGCAGCATCCGAGTCGCAGGACCAAGTTTGCCGACCTCCGCTCCCGACGGCGGTCCTCCGGCAACAACAAATTCGGCATTATCTCCGCTGCACTTGTCAAAGACACAGGACACGAAAGTTGGTGGCATGCGAAGGCGGCAGCAGCGCAATTTGCTCGGGACGTGACAATTTGCCAGCCATAACGAAGTTGCCAGCTCATGTGTGGCCCGGATCGGTTCGGATCCGGGAATCGAGGGGTGTCGCTGGAGGAAGGTGGGAGGATGACGTTGGAATTGCTGCCGGGCTGCGAATCACAGCTGCCGACACTGGCTCCGACAAAACTGCAGACGGAGTGCTTGGCCAAAGGCTGCCTTGTTTTTCCGAATAATTGGAATTTTTGTTTCGAAACAATGCTGGCAGTCGCTGGCGCAGCAGATCTGATTTGGTCTTGTAACGGATTGATTCTACGTCAATTAACTTGCATTTGAAACTCATCATGACTGCATCTTTATATAAAACCGCCAAACGATGTTTACCTACTATAGCCTATGGCAAGGTTTAATATATTCAGTCTATTCAAAAGCCAAAAGTGCAAATAAATGTTAATTTCTGGCCACCTTAGGCTGTAAGCGATTAAGCCCTTATTTGGGAAAAGGCATTCAATGGGCGAATTCAGTTGAACAACATGATCGATGATGGAACAACATGATGGATCAGTTATCAGTGATCAAGTTTGTTCTGCTGAACGCCTATGATACATTACGCATTAATTAATTAATTTTTGCTTGTTTTGTTTGTTTTTAAATTTTGTTTTGTTAACATTCCGATTTTTCTTTTTATTCTTATCCATATTTACACCATCGATATAGGCCACCAGATATGTATCATGTGTCAAGAAAAGGTGGCTTACTATTTTTACTCTTCTTTTATAAATTTTTGCAACATGATCAGTGATCATATGCATTCAGCAGAACTATCGTAAGAAATCCATCAGTGATCACTGATCATGTTGTTCTGCTGTATACACCCAATGACTCACAAAAAATACGCTTATCCATTTCTCAATTATAAGCAATTAAACAATTTACCAAAATAGTAATACTTAACAAAACTTAAATTACAATGTAGATGATGAAATTTGTTTTAATGGGACAAGGGTTTTATTTTAAAGATATTATTCTGTGGTCCCAAAAACAGGCATATCGTATAAGGAAAAACAACGTTTGACTTCTAAGCAATATTGGCGAAGAAACTTAATGGAAGCTCAGACTTGCCTGTGAAAATGAATCCCTACATTTCTAGAACATTCACCCAACCAGAAATGGGAGACTTTGTAATGGGATGCATGACAAATAATACCAAATTGGACTAATATATATCGTTTACGTTATATATATTTACCTTAAAACATTGATGTGTTGACTATGATACTACTTTTTAAATTTAATTAAATAGTCTATTTTGAAAATATAAAAAGAAAAGACTGAAGTGGTTTATTCAGTGAAAAATTAAATTCTTTAGGATAATCTTTTATAACACATTTAGTGTTAATTTCCATTTCTTTTCCTTTTTTCTATTGAACTTAAAAAAACGTCTCTACCATTTAAACTGAGTTTGCAAACGTTATGGAAACGTACGACCAATTTTATAATGCTGTGCAATTAATGGGTTGACAAACGATGTGTCTAATTACGAATAAATATATTGTTTTTAGAACAACGCGCTGAAATAAATTGAATTTAAGTCCCCAAGGTCACACCGATCCACTCACCATCATGTGGCACCAGCGGCAGGTGAGTCCTGTAATGCCGTGGTAGGCCTTTATCCGCTTGCGGCACTTGGAGCATCGCCCATAGCAGTTGCCCTCCACCCAGTGGTGCAGCAGGTCGCCGCCGGACTTGGGCTTCTTCGACTTCACGTACGTGGTGATGCAGGAAGCGGGAGCGTGCTGCACGCACCGCTCGTGAACCGTGTACTTGCACACTGCCAAAAGTAATATTAATATACGTTTATGTTATTAATACATTTTTCTTTAAAAATTACTTTAGTTTATCTTAATAATTATAGTTAAATTGTTCTTATTTCTGGACAATTTAACCAATCTGTTCTTCAAACGAATAGAATTCATTCCTAACCTGAAATATGCACATGGGATTTTTTAACGAAAGGTTAACCAAACCAAACAAGCTTAAGAGTAAATGACCCGATAATATAGAGTATTCTTAATGCACATCGTTTGCTCAATTGTTGGAAATTAAACGAAATTGTGAACTTCGATTATTTTGTTTAATATCAAAGTAGAGAAATTAAGTAAGGGCCATGGTTTTCTGATATTAAAGTTTCCGTCCAAATTGTCTTTCTGAAGGAAGGGCAGGGTTTTGTACGACAACTGGAGTCCACGTATATCTCGGATCTTGTAATAAAGATTGCTTAAAAATAATTTTTCTATAAATTAGATGTATTTTTGACTTTTTGTTTAGCAATGTATAGCAGCAACTTTAGATAAAATTTAAATATATTGTTTTTTTTATTACTTCTAATACTATTTATCATATACTGCTTATCTCCTTTATTGCTCATTACCAAACGAATTTTACACATTCGTTTTCTTAGAATGTTTGAAACTTTATTTGCTTTTACCGTCGAGTTATTTGTTATTCTTCTGATAAAATTTGTTATGTTTGTGACACTATTAGAAGTCTCAAAGCAGAATAATAATAATTAGCCCGCAATGAGGAATAAAAGAGGAATAAAACCGTCACCAAAAAATTCCACATTTTGTTTATACGCAAAGTTTTAGTAGTTTTTGCTGTGCTGCTGGTAATTCTCTATTATAAATTTTGTCAGAGTTTATAATCAATCTTAAATCCTTTAAAATATTTATGCATGATTTAACATTTTTCCAATTTAAATCCATTTTGTATTTGCAATTTTCAATATTTTATGTGAAAATCTATATTTTATGCCAGCTAGGATAACTTCAAATGAGCTTTAATAGTTATATTCAAAGAGATTTGCGTAAATCTATTTTTGTTTTCCTTTTTGTTGTGTCTATCATATTTATTTGAGCGCACAAAAATTCGAGTTGGTGAATATTGTATTGTATTGCATTGCGTTTGTTTCGGTCACGTTTGCGTAAATTTGCGTATTTTCGGAACTGTTAAAGCAATCGAATAAACTAATAAATTCTGAAAAATTCTGAAAAAAATACATTAATGATTTTACGGCTTATTTTGACTGAAAGTCGCAATCTTTATGGGATTGGTTGTGATTGAGTATAATTTGATTCTAATAAGATTCATAATTTAGTTTATGCTTTAACGTTACTTTATATAGGTACAGTAGATTATAGAAATTAAATTTAATTAGGCCCATATTTGCCTTGAATAATATTATTATTGAAACTGATTAAACACGTATTAAATAAAAATCTTGCAAGAATATAATCGATAATTTTGGGGCATTTTGTTTAACCAATGAGTTTTTTTGCAGGCTAACATTTATTATTCGTTTTAGCTAAAAGGGTTAAATTTGTAAATAATCCCCCCTAATATGTAGATTCCTGAAATATTAATGTAATAAGTCGAACACTTTGCCGCTTTCTTCTGCGTGGTTTAATGGCCTTAAAGTTACTTTGGCTAAAACGATGCCATTGAAATAGACAATTTCCTGTCTTTAGACACCACCACCAAGGCAGACACTCCTCACAGATACTCACGCACACAGCAGAGACCCTTCTTGCCGAGGCCGACCAACATGTTGAGGCAAAGGTTGCAGTACGCCGGCTTGCTGAAGTGCTTCAAGCGCCACACATGGATGCCATCCTCCTTGAGCGTGGTGCTGTCGACACCTGGGGAAGATTGAGGTGTAGGATGCCAGGTGGCGGTTGGAGATGAGGGCGTAGGGGCGAGTTGTCACTTTGCATAAGTGTACGGAGGGCGCCTGCAGCAACTCCTCGTTCCCCTGGGCCAGCTGGGCAAATGACTTGATTATTACGGCAGCAGCCAACCAGTCACAGATCAAGGCATTCAGCCGGCAAAGGTGCATTTAGCAGGGGAACGAGGCACAGCACACAGAGAGAAAATATTGCAACTATGGGGTTCTGTTTTGATTGGCTTTCAAAATAAATTTCAGCTATTAAAAAAATATATATTTGACTAAAACAACTATTTACAAATACCGTTCTGGCATACTACATATAGCGAATATTTTAACAGCAGTTATCTAAAAAATTTTTTTATGGGTTTCAATTCGTTAAGCGACTTAAAATAAGCCTTAAAAATGTCAACATTGTTCACGACATAAACGACATTTGTAAGCGATTTACTGGAGTTATCACTTCTTTTTGAACTCTTTTTTAAGTGGCTTCAAAAATTCTTTACTCTGTTGAAAGGGAGACAGGCCTAAAATGTGCTTATTTTTGTTCAAATTTCAAAAAACTTTTCAATCTCAACAGTAATTCTTTATTTAAAGAAAAAATCAAACCATCTTAAAACAAGAGCTTTTCAAAATCAAGTATGATTGAATGAATGTACAAATCAAAGCAATAAGCAGAAACAATAACAATATTTTCTCTCTGTGTAGAATGGAAAATAACCCACCTAAGAGCACGAGCAGTGGAATGGTTGTCATCCCGCCTCGCTGCCACTCGTCCAAGGACACTGTGCCGTCGGCGTCATAGTCAATTTCAACCATCATCTCCTGCAGTATCTGTAAGTACAAAAAGCGATTGCGGATTGCAGTGAGTGAAGTGAAACCAAAAAAAAAGGGTTGTTTTAGAGGGAATGAAATTTAACGGAAAGGTAACTTCCTGTTTGGAATGCACTTCTATTACCTTGGGTTGGTTAGCAAACGCATTTTCTTAAGAAATGCAGTTACTCGTAAATATTGTTGGGAACATCACCATCCTAATTTAAAGTTCTTTAAGAAGTTTTAAAAGGGCTTAAAATATGTCAAATTAAGTTAAAAATGTTTTCCATCTTGATGTTTTAAATTATTGCACAGCTTTAAACACTTCAAAATTCAAGAGCAACTAAGACTACAAGAAACCGATCGAAGCGGTACGAGTACTTTTGCTCTATAAAATATTCACTTCCAAATTTATACAACTTCCGAATCCTTTTTCTTTCTCTTGGCAAATTTCATATTCTCCCGGAAATGAATGCCAGAATTATGCAACTCATTAAGTGCTTTGATTATTTGCGGGGAGCAAACGGAAAGCAAAAAGGATAAATAATGGGCCCGACGAAAGGCTGACCCAAACTTGGTTTCTTGGCTCTTGGCAGGTCTTGCCTCAAAATATTTTGATTAAAATATTTTCTGTGTCTGCCTAGAATTTAAAGTATGCGGCAGTCATAAAGTCGTGATGGCGATGTTACTGGAGCTCCGGGTTCTCGAGCAGCGGAAAAGGAAGTCGGTCGAGGGCAAGGGACAGACGGAAGATGCGGCTGGAATCATTCCGCTAGAGCCAGGGGTATTTTGTTAATTGAGTTTTGTGGCGCTTTGACTTTATTTGCGGTCGCAGTTCTTTCTTGTTTTTCCCTTCCTTTCTGTATATATTTTTTGCTTTGCCTGTCAACATCGAGGGGGTTTTCTCGTTGTTAGGGGGAACGCGTTAAGCTTGTTCTTTTTGCTGTTGGTGAAACTATTAAGTCGCCTATGCGATGTGGTAGCTGAGGGAACACCACAAATTTGCGGTTGAAATGGAAACCCAGAGAACACGTAAAGAAATCTAAATGAATAGTGACAAGAAAGAAAGCAAACTTCGGCAAGCCGAAGTTCATATACCCTTGCAGCTATCGCAAGAATTAAATATTTTTGAAAACATTAAAATTATGATTTACTTGCGTATATGTTTAAAAACATTGAAGCTATGACGATTTGCAGCTTAATTATTTGATTGTTCTTTTATATATTTTTATTATTTGTATGGGAGCTATATGATATAGTCGTCCGATTTTGATAATATTTAAACCATAATTCTGAAATATTTAACCATTGCTATATGTCGAAGAACTAAAAAAAAAATTAAAAAACAGCAAAGTTATAATTTTTTTTCAATCATTTTTCCGATTGTTCCTATGGGAGCTATATGCTATAGTCGTCAGATTTTGATGAAATTTTAATCATAATTCTGAAATATTTAACCATTGCTATATGTCGAAGAACTAAACAAAAAATTAAAAAACAGCAAAGCTATAATTTTTTTTCAATTATTTTTCCGATTGTTCCTATGGGAGCTATATGCTATAGTCGTCCGATTTTGATGAAATTTTAATCATAATTCTGAAATATTTAACCATTGCTTTATATCGAAGAACAAAACAAAAAATTAAAAAACAGCAAAGTTATAATTTTTTTTCAATTATTTTTCCGATTGTTCCTATGGGAGCTATATGCTATAGTCGTCCGATTTGGATGAAATTTAAACCATAATTCTGAAATATTTAACCATTGCTAAATGTCGAAGAACTAAACAAAAAATTAAAAAACAGCAAAGTTATAATTTTTTTTCATTTATTTTTCCGATTGTTCCTATGGGAGCTATATGCTATAGTCGTCCGATCCGGCTCGTTCCGACTTATATACTACCTGCAATAGGAAGACAACTTTTGGGAAAGTTTCATGCAGATAGCTTTAAAACTGAGAGACTAGTTTGCATATAAACGGACGGACAGACGGACAGACGGACAGACGGACGGACAGACGGACATGGCTAGATCGACTCTACTAGTGATGCTGATCAAGAATATATATACTTTATAGGGTCGGAAACGTCTCCTTCACTGCGTTGCAAACTTCTGACTGAAATTATAATACCCTCTGCAAGGGTATAAATATATATATTATCATATAAATACAAAATATGATTTGGTTATGTGGAAAAAAGAACTCTGTGGACAGAAGTGCACGTAGTGACGAACTCACACTAAGAGTTCGCGTTTGGAGAGTACTACTTGTATATAGCTTCTTAAATTGTAAAACTAATACACTGGAAGTAAAATCAGTTATATTAAGAAATTTTGAGTTGGGGGACTGGTGGAATATACTGTAATTTATTTTCAATTTATTCACATTGTTCATCAACATACGACAAGCAGTATCAAAATTAAAATTAAATTAAGTCAGCTTGCCAAATGAGTAAATAGTAAAAAAAAATGTATTACACACAATTAAAAACTTTCTACCTCGTCCAGAGGTTTTATTTTAGAATTTTTAGAACGGCCAAATTTTAGGTTTATATAAATAACTTGCAGTGTGTGTTTAAATGTGTCCGAGACTGTTGCTTAAAACAACGTTGTGGCTAATCGATTTTTTAATTACTTATTTTTCCTCCTGTGTGGCTAAGCCTGGACTATCGCCGAAGTTGAATGTTCAAACAATAAAGCGAAATTAATTTCAAGTGTTTTTTCCGTCGTGTTTTGTTTGGTGCTTTGTTGCGTTTGCTGTTAAAAATGTTCGTAAGTAATTGAAAAAGTTTTATTGGATTGGATTGGATTGGGTCAATGAGTAGTTGAACGGGTTTCGGGGTTCGTGACCGCCAAACAGACAACGGTGGGGATAGTGAGGGGATAGTGTGGGTGCTGTAAGTCGATCTGCCGAATTGCTGTGCATCGATGTTGATTGCAATTGCTTTCGCGTAATGAGTTTTTAATGTAAGCCGGACTTAACCGGCACTCACCGGACGCAGTTCGCTGACATCCCAGCCGAGATACTCGGCCACGGCCATCATCTGGTTGACAATGGCGTCCATTTCGGCCGTGTCCAGAACTCCGTTGCTGTCCGTGTCGTACAGCCGGAACATGACTGCAAGCAATGAATAAATAAGGGGACCCGGATCGAAGATTGCAGTTGCAGGTCGGTCTTACACTCCAGCTTATCCTCCGGACGGCCAGCCTCGAGCAGTGATAAATAGCAGACGACGTCCTTCAGGGGGACCTTGAGTGTCAGCGGATCAAAATGGGAAAGTTTTCGCGCCAGGAGCTTAATGTCAGCTGCAAGTGAAAGAGGGAATTGGTGAGTGGGTGGTGGGCAGTGGGCAGTGGGCAGTGGGTGGAGAATTGCATGTGCAAGTGCATTCATTAAGTGCTGGGCACTTCGAGTGACAGAGTGGACGTGGACGCATTCTCGTTATTCTTAATGCCATCGACAGCTGACAGCCAGTTCCCATTATGCTTAATGTTAATAGCCAACATTTGACCGGGCCGAAAGCCAGTGCTTCGTTATGGCTCTTAATGAACCCGAGCTTCGGGAAATTCTGCCGCAATTTGTTTTCCAGTTTAATGTGAAAGGAAGGAAGGAAGGAAGGATGCTACTTGCTTTTGATGCTTTGAGCCTGCGACCCGAAACTTTTCTCATCTTATGCTCCAGATACTTTAGCTCGCTCAACTTTGTTTTGCTATAATTACAAATTTATTCACCTTTTCTTTTGCTTTCTACTCCCTATTGATTTGCAGTCAATTCCGGCGTAATTACATAATGAATTAAAATCAAAGCGCTCTGAATGGCCTAGCAAATTGTTTAGAAATTTTCAAAGAACTCTGTTTGGTTTCTTTGCGTGTGCGAGACTATGAATGATTTCCATCTTTTATTATTTTGACAGGCCATTTGTGTGTGCTGTTGATGTTGTAATTTATATGTTAATGCAGGCAGCGCGGCAGTTTCCATCTAAGCTAGTCAAACAGCCGAACAAGACATGGAGATGATTGTATTTTAGCTAATTATGTTTGCCCAGTGTCGGAACGTTTGTTCGCAATAAATTAAAATACATACACATATACCGCAAACAATGCTAATATTTGCCCTTCTTCTTAATAACTAAATGAGGCTGTCGGTTTCGCGATGAGTGCAGGGAAGTTGAGTAAACAGGACTGAGTGTGTGAGCAGGATCAATGTCGACTTATTTGCCGGCCTACATTTGGACTAATAAATTTAATTCACGCACACAGGCAGCCGGAATACAAAAAGCAAAGCAAAACTAATCCAATTAGCGCTTAAGGCGCTCTAAGGCACACACATACACTCGGAGGAAGAAAGCAGACCCTTGCTGTACTTAATAGATAATGCTAATAGGAAATTCCTGACTGGGCCTCGTCCTCGTGCCTTTTGCGTAATTTGCTGCACCGAAAAAAGGACGACATCAATATGATAAGTCAACGTGATCCCAACATTGTTTAAATAATATTTATTCGGTACATACATTCATTTTGTTTCAAATTTCAAATAAAAAAACTATTTCTTATACGTTTGAAACTCTTTAAAATCCAATTGATAGTATAATTGTCAAAGCTGTTGTTTTACTAAGACTTTTGTTTTTGTTTGTACTCGATAACAAACTTAATTGTTGAAAGTGTTTATGGCAATCGTTAAAAGAAATATTTTACACAAATGCTGGGAAAGGGATAAGTTTAAAAGAATAAGGAACACTAAATGTCCTTTGAAATGAAATTGTATTTGATACACAATATATTGCATATATATAGCAATAATATAGACTATATATATATCTATATATAGCAATTAAAAAACAAATATACCTGCATTTATATTTTCATTTGGCCAAAACGGCTTTTACAAATATTAAATAAGATATTTAGCTAGAATGAGTTCATAGTTTTGTTGCTGTGTACTCCCATCCTCTGAACTTTCAGGACAATGTCTTTCAATTGCTGGCAAAATGCGTGAAACTGTTGGCCAGCGACAAAAAAGGCAAAAAAGAGGATAAAAAAACGAAATTTACGTTCATTAATCATTCTCGTACACATTTCAAACGAAGCAAAATGAATGGAAGCAAAAAGAGAAACAAACGATGGCAGCAAAAAAGCAAAAAAATGCTGCTGCATACTTTCAGGCCGCAAGTGCTCCTTGCTCTGCTTGTGTGTGTAAGAGTGTCCTGGTTCTCTGTTCTTGTGTGCGTGTGTGTGTGTGTGTGAGCAATAAATGTTAATTTAACGCAGGCTTCGCATTTTACGAGTTGCGACTTCGTGAAACGCAAAAATGTTTCTAATTGGGCGTTGATTTACGACACGATCTCTGAGACAAGAGTCCCTCAGTTTTATTTTTTGAACTTTTCTTTGTTTTTGGTATACGGGATGCTGGAGAGGCGGGAAGTAAGGCTGACTTCCGGTGCCAAGTTTGGCCTTTGCAAAGGACTGCAACTTCGGCAGCGGTCCCAGGTCCATAATTTATGAACTCATGAATTAGCGAATGCCCGCCTTGTTTTCCTTCCGCGCTGATATTTGCTTTTGGTACTTGCTCTACTAATTAGCAAGTTCGGGAGAAAGTTAACTAAGCAAATGGCAAATAAACTGAGGTTCGTAGTCTAGATGAGCTGCAGTTAAGTCAATTTCGTTAAGCAGGTATAACAATTAACGTTACGCATGCTATTGAATAAACGTATTTGGGATTTTTATTAAATATATATTTAATACGCGTCATGATTATTTTGAGGACTTACTCAGTTTTCAGTATTAAAAAATGAATATTTATTAGTGATATTATTTTGAAATTGGTGATGAAGACCCCTTGCCAATAATAGCGTAAATACATAGTTTTGGTGCTACACACCCTTTTGCACTAAAAAATGAGACCTTATTTACCCCTTTCAACATTCAGAAAGCAATCAGAAAGTATGTTTTTCTCGATCAAATGGAGCGTTCTGCACATAGACGGTTAATTTCAGCATCTGCACGGTTCTGTCGGTCAGCATGTTGGCTGGCCAATTAGTTGGCTGGGCACTTCCAGCTGCCACGATTGGCCACGTCCTTCCACATCCCCGCACACATCACATGCTGATTGCACAATAAGCGTCTTAATTGGAAGTCGCATGCACATTGTAATTTCAGCGCACTGAGCCGAAAGGGGTACGCGGATGTGGACTGGGTGGATAATGTGGACAATGTGGACAATGTGGAGCGCCGCCTAATTAATACTCACCATCAATTTTGCAATTAACCGAATTGTTGCTCTTCTTGGAGGAGTTGCGGGACATCTGCGAGTGGTTGGTCGCCGAGTGGGAGGGGCTCGAGTCCACGGATCGACGGGCCGCATTGCTGGCCTGGAACATGCTGGGTCCGCTGGCCAAGGGGCTCGGCGTCACGGTGAGCATTGGATGGACGCTGCCTGTTGGATGGACCGGCCAATGAAGCAGAAATATCAAACACGTGCCGCGAATGCAGAACACTTCTCACAGTACTTAGAAAAAGTTGTCAGACTTTATGAAATTAAAGGTTTTTATAGATTGAACATTTGACAATTAAATAGTTGAGTAGAGTAAACGATTATATTGTGTTTGTTTTAAAAAGTGTGTAGCAGGTAGAAGGGGGCAATTCCGACACTAAGAAGCTCATTTATTTTTCATTAGGATCAGTTTTTTTTGTTTAAACGTGAATACTCCGAGAACTGTAAGAGCTAAATAGTTAGGACTTAGCTTGTATACCATAGTAACAACCACTCCGGGCTGTTTAATTTCAGACATTGGATCCGATCACTCTTTTGCCTACAAATCACAAAATTAAAGTCATATATAAGTCGTATACAGAATTTCTGGCGCCAAAGTTTCATGCAGATGGCTTTAAAACTGAGAGCTTAATTTGCACATAAACTGACGGACTGACGGACGGACAGATACTTTATAGGGTCAGAAACGTCTTCTTCGCTGAGTTGCAAACTTCTGACTGAAATTATAATACTCTCTTCAAGCGTATAAAAATGGAGCTAGTTCGATTTTACGTTGAATTTTTGGATTGTTCTTATGACCGCTATATAATGTCGTTGTCCGATTTTAATCAAATTTTATTCGAATATATGGAATAGTAAAACATCACTATACCACAAAGAATATTCAAATAAATATAGAGTCATCGAAGCAAACCGTTTTTTTTAATTTTATTTCAGATTGTTCCCTTGGGAGCTTAATTATATTATATTATTATTATAATTGATGTACTGAAATGTTTCCTTTACTGCGTTGACTGAATTTGTAATGTAATTCTAAACTCTTTCCGGTGTTCATCGTTACTAAGCGGACGTCCAAAGTGATACTCTCTACAAGGGTATAAAAGTCCTTGGCCTTGTATTTCAATAAAAATATTTAAAATACTTAAAGAGCTAAAGTTCAAAACAACTTCAAGTCGTACGTCCTTTTCTAGTTTCTAATTCTGAGCCAAGCTCGCTGTGTTGTTCCCCGTGTAACGTAACTCACCCGTCTTGCTGGGATCGTGCGAGAGATGTCCGCCCAGTGAGTGGTGTAATTTATCCGTGATGCCATGGATTTTGTCCACAAAGCTGCTGCGGGTCGGCGCGTGGCCCTCGCCGGCCACGCCCCCTGGGCCTCCGATTCCGCCCCCGCTGCCGCTGCACTGGGGCATCAGCTCGGCAATGCTATTGATGTTCGGAATGGAGCCTAATTACGGGCGGTTGGGAGGCGAGTGGGTCGATGGGAGTGCAGGGAGTGCAGGGAGGCCAAAAGAAATGTTCAGCAATTATTCACATACACACGAGAGTGGGTGACATGGGGCGGTGGCAAGGACGATCTCTTACCCTTCGTGTGCGACGTGACTGGCGCACAGGCGGCCGTGCTGCTGATGGCGGCCATTTGATTAAGTGCCCGGCCATGCAGCTGGGCCTGGGTGACATTCGGCTTGAGGAAGGACACAAACAAATGCTTGGCCAGGTCCAGCGGCGCCTCGCAGTCGAGGAAGGAGTCCAGGAAGCGCCGGAACCCATCGAAATCAATGTCCTGCGAAAAGAGTTTGAAAGTATAAATAAAATAAGCCTATCCAATGATTTGTGGGAGTCTTTGTTTTGCCACTCTTTAATGAGCTTTTAGAGCGAACGAATTTTAGTTCGGTCTTAGTTTTATATAAAGAAAAAAACCGCCCAATACAAAATTGTAAAATCTTTCTTCAATACTGGGTGTGAATATACTATAACTCTCTGTATTTGAAACCATTTTGTTCTCAGTAATTAGTTCAGAAAAATTTAAGAACAGGAAACAAACCTTTAAAAAGTTTTAAGCTGTTTGTCCTGAGTTTCATTCACTTTTTTCTCTCTCTAGGAGTATGTAATAAATCTACCGCAGGCCATTCACAAGTGACAAGCTAAAATGTGTGCAAAACACTTGTCGTTGCATAGTTTATCCACTGCCAGCGTCCTCTTTTTCATCCAAGTTTTACGAGTGGTATCGGGTTTGTTGTGTCAGTGAGCAGAGTGGCAGGTGGAGGAGCGAAGAGCTACTTATGCAACATAATATGTTGACGTTATTATGGCGAAAAAAACATTTTGCAGTTGCCGTCAATCGGAGCCTTTCATTTCTCATCTTTTTCTGAGGGGAGGGCGAAGGGAACCAGCGCCGTCATCGACTTTATTACCGTTGACAACGGAGCGTATGATTAATAAATGCTTGCCATATTGTGACACATTCAGAGATGATTTTCTGCGTGGCAAGTGAAGCGCAAGTACATTTATCTCCCGACTAAATAATGGAGCCCATGTATGGGCGGCGGTTCATATTGTTGCCTAATTGAAGGTCAAACCTCACTGAAGCATCCCCGGCAATGAACAACGTTAAGCAGACAGAATCTCTGCTTTAAAATTTCCCATTTTACGCGTGTGGAATACATAATTCTCCTGCCGGCGATTCGAAAGCCATTTTATTTACATTTGTCCAGTGCACAAAATTCCCACATAAATCCGAGCTCAGTCTGGGAAAGGTTCCACTCGGCTCGTACGTGCCGGGGAACGTCCCTCAAGGATCTGGCGGCTCCTTATTTGCCATTTGTAAATGGGCTTGGTAGTTCGGCCCAGTGCCGCTGGGTAGGGGCCCAGTTTTTATGGATGCAGAACGCAACCTGGCTGGATGGGGATCGGGCAAATTACATGTCAACACCACGTGTAATGTCAATACATTGACAGTTGCGGCGCGATGCTTAAATCAACAATGCGACATTGATAGACGCCGGCATCCGCTGACATTGATAGACGTAAGGCCCCGGGCCGCACACGGCAGCTCAACGGATTTTACAGTTGCCAGTTGCCAATTTCAGTTTAGGTTTAGGTTTCGGTTTTCAGTTTGGGTTCCCGGTCGGGGATAAATGCTAATCAAGGATAACAGCCCGACGGAGATGGAGGTGCGTTGGGTGCGATTAATTGCGCAAGAGGCAGCGAGTCGTGTCGCAAGTAATGAAATAATCAACAGGAACTTGGGCTGCCAAGAGAATATATCTATTCTGTTGGAAATATCTGCCTTTATTATCAGACTCCTCACGAGCTGCCGCCCTTCTGTTGCTGTTTTGCGTCGTTTTAAATTTCTAGACATAAAACAAAGTAAACGAGCCAGAGCTGGTAACATTAAGAGTGCTCTGAGGTTTGGGCTGACACTGGCAAACATATTTTGCAAATGAAAGCACCCGATTGGTAAACCAAACTGCTAAAATATTAATAGCAAAATTTGCTTCATTAAACTAGCTAAGAGCATTAATGCAATTTATAGATACACTTATCTGATAACATGCAAATTAATGAAATAACAAAAAAAACTTGCCTTTAAAGCAAATAAACTAAAATAAACTGAGAAGCTAAGAAGACAGACAACTATAATTTTCAAATGCAGATAACTGTGAGTTAAGTAAGTGTGAGGCGAAAAATTGAAACGCTTTTTGATTTTTCCTCTGTATCCTTAACCACTTGCTGGTTTTTGTTGTCTGTTGGATGGCCATAATGAAACCCAATACAGGCAAATGGAGGATTGTACTCGTGTCGTCGGCTGGCACTACACCAGCATCAATGACTATGACTACATAGCTGCGAAGCTACGAGTGCCAAAGCAAACTGCTTAAAGCCGGCGAACGCAAATGGCTCCGACACGCCTTACTGGGGAAACATCAGCATATTGTAAAACCCAAACACAGATACTCACGCCCACATCCACAGCCCCGCACATAAATTACAGCCCAGTCACACACACACCCACAGGCACTATAATAATGGCGCGAATCGCGCTAGCAAAATTTATTTAGACAGCAAGGAGCAACGCGATACGCGTGCGAAGAGCTCTCCCTCTGCTCCTGTTCATTACTTCTCAGAGGCTTCCTTCATTTAACTTGTTCCATATGTACGGTTGAGGCCGAAAAAATAGCACAGTTTTCAACGATTTAACTGCTTAAAACTTTAAACGTGTCAGTTAGTTGGTATTTATTTTTTAGGTTCTTTTTTTCAGTCAACAAAATATTTCTAATATCCTTAACCTTTGGATGAAATTATTTTATGGCCCTAAATTATATATTCGATAGATATCGTTTTTCTTTATAAATAAATAATAACAATTAGTGTGGGGCTATTTAAGTTTAATTTATTTTATTTTAATATAAAACAAATTATTTTATTTCACTTTTCTTGCTACTTTTATCTTTCTCAAAATTTAAAATAACACAAAAAGGAACTAAGCAAGTATTATTAAAATACAAAAATTCTATAATGTTTGAAATGTTTTTGTTTGGTGTGTGCAGTAACGTCTTTTCAAGTGATGCAAAGCTAACCCGTTATTGAGTTTTCATTATTTAGTTAAAATATTAATTATAAATTATTTTAATAATGATTTTTATAACTGCCAGTAGTCAATCAATTTTGCAATCAAATTTTAAATGAATATGACTTTCTTTTCTAATTTTAGGAAAATTTGATTTAATTTTGGGAATAATTGAGTTTAAGCTCATATTTTCCCAAATGTTGTATGAAAAGCACAAATTTAAGGCAATTATTCCTAAGGCCTTGTTTTCCTTGATTTTAGGAATCTAGTTTTCTGAGTGTAATCCATTCTTAAATTCTATACGAATTTGGTTGAATTGACTTTAGGGACATTATTTTCCCTGATATATAGGCTAAAAATTAACAATTCTCTATGCTATGAATTTCAAGAATTCTTGAATACATGAAATTAAACAAGCCCATGTTTACGCGATTCAGACGGATGCATGAAATAATGTACCCAACTTGGCTGCGCCTCACCAATTCACGCATTTAATTTGATTTCATAGTCAACTTTCGTGTGTAAGCGAATACATGACATTGTGTTTATGCACACACATATTTTCCCGTTTCATGAAATAATTGCATGAAGTGGCTGTCGCACAAACACAGTAAAAATAAGTTTTCAGTTCTGCGCACAGTGTTTGGAAGTATTATTTTGATCTCGACTGTATATGTGGCTTCAATCTGGTATTCCCATGGATGCGTTATGTGACGCTATGCGTGAGCGCGTGGCTTAATGAATAAATATTCAAGCACATTTCGGGCGTTCGGTGCGTATGCGTGATATTCATTACACTCTCTAATCACAAACACGCACACAAAGTCGCGCATACGGGCCATTTGGCACTCATCTTCACTCCACTCCGGCAAACATAATCTGCGCTTTGCATTCATTATGCATCGCAGTGTTCGGGGCATAAATTATGACCATATGGGCTCTAAACCCCATTTTTCACCCTTCCGCTTTTAAAGCTCTCACCCATAGTGACCAATTGATGGGGAAAACAGCGGAAAACATATCATTTTTCAGTGCCACCTGACGACAAGCTGCTCTTAATTAACCTTAATTGGAGCAGACGGGCTTTAAGACAATCCTTGGGTAAAAGTTTAATCTTCTGAAGAAGGGGACATGTAAGCAGCTTTTCCCGGAATAGAAAAACATGTTGCCAAGCAGCGTACATCTCGTGGCATCTCAATTCATTTGGCCCACTGAAATATTTACGGGAATTACTTTTGTTCGGAAAATTCCATGCAATGACAAACAGTGATTCCCAGAAGTACTCGAACATCTCCGGCAGCAGTGAGTTCGATATCAAAGTGAATTCCATGGGAATCATTCACTCACATCCGAGTCCCGCATGTGGAAAACCAGGGGTTGGTCGGAGTGACGGAAACTTAATTATACTTTTTCCATTTCGTTACGCTGGGAAAACAAATGATAAACCAGAAAACGAAAGGAAACCTAAGAATGTCTTTCGTTTGCATATGCATCTGGCTTGAATGATTACAAAGTCCCAAATTAAAAATGTATATTACTATGCAAACTGCAAGCCCTCTGGCTCATGTCCATCGTGTTGGAAACGCCAGAGTGATCTGAGCATTGGATTCGCTTGTCCCCGATGAAAGAGCTACAATTTATGCAGCTCCAGCGGCGCTTGCTCCCATCTCCTGTTCCAACCAAATTGATGGCGTTGCAGGCAGTTTCAAATTAATTTAGTGTGTATAAACTTGTCAGGATATTCATTCGGGGACAAGGGTGGCCAGCTCAGTGTCTGCTCTGTTGGGATTCAATTTCAATTTGCCATTCAGGCGTAAACTTGAAAAGTCTGTGATTTATTGTACGTATAAGCAGATTTACTTTCAATCTTTCGCCCCACCTGGTTGCCCTTTTACTCAGCCTTTCTCTAATCTCTATTCTGTAATGCAGAAGCTGTATGCTGTCAGTCCGAGAATACTAAGAAAAAACTGTATCATTTCTAAAGTCAAATTTCTTGAAATTGATACAAAGCCGAGTCAGTAAACTTAACAATTCATTCACATATATAAGACTATTTTCAGGGATTTATATTTGCTATCTTGTTCACAATTGCATTGCTGCTTAAATATAAGTAGGATTAATTATTTCTCCAAATTAATTGTGAAATGCTTTTTCTAATTCGAAATTCAATTGTGCCACAGAAACAATAAATCAGTGCTTTAAAACTCAAAAGAACAATTTAATTAAAAAGTATATTTTCGATTTTTTTAATACATTTTAAGGAACTAACACAAACAATTTGTTATATTTTCTTTCCACATTTAAGTTTCTATTTTCCTCAGTGCGCACATGTGAGTTTCCGTAAGCTCAACCGAATCGCCTTTCGTCGGACTTCCCAAGTCGCCAGGTAGAGAATTAAGTGTAAGACGTAACCCGAGCCGAATCAAACCGAGTCCTTGACTTGTGCTTTGAGTAGGGTCTCCCCTTTCCCGCTCCCTTTCCCTTTTCCCCAATATCAACTCCTACCCAGGCTCTAGCTCATCCGCTTTCATTTAATTGCAGGAGCGGAGCAGGACGTCTTGGCAACACTTACCCCATCCGGAATGCACTTGGGCGTGGTGGCGGCACTCGGCGAGCTGAACTCCCGCAGCACATCCTGCAGCTTTCGGGTGGAATCTGCAAGGTGGAAGACAGGTGAAAGGGTACAGGTGAGCGGTGTAAACCAGGGATTATGCAAAGTTCAGTTTAGCAGTGCTGCGTGGCAGCAGGACACACGTCCATCGCTCGACTGGCTCTTCTGGCACTTCTGGCGCCAGCAAAATGAGTTCGACGTCTTAAGTGGGCCAGCCGAGGTGGACAGGTGTTTTTCCCCAGGTGACGGTGACTTGGGTGGGTGATCTGCAGCGCGGTCGGGATAATTAACTAATGGAAAACAAGTGGTTCGTGCAAGTAAATGCGGGTGGGTACGGACGGGCTGGATGACTTGGGCCAGTTGGTTGACATGCCGCAAATGCCCGGAATAAACTCCGCCCGAATTTTTGCGCCAAGGGTTTTATTAACCTAATGGGAGCTGTGTGTATACCAGTGTACAACCGCAATTGTGCAGAGTATCTGCACTTAAATGCAGCTCTAGTTTCTGTTCCATGGCGACGACAGCTGCAGCTGACACTTTTGATGGCTTTCGTTCGAAGCTGCATCGCAGACTGAAAACAGTTTAACCGCACTCTAATAAGCACCTGCGCCGCACCCATATATCCTGTGGCACGCCCTCAGGACTGGCTACAATCTCAAATTGCTGTACAAGTGCCGCCGACAGATCCAAACCAAACAAAAAAAGACTACCTCAATTCAAAGAACATGGCCGAAGGAAGCAAACTTCGGCAAGCCCAACCTAAAATACCCTTAGAGCTATTGCAAAAATTTAATATATCGTTTTCCGATTAAATAAAATTAAAATCGTAATTCTGAACTGTCAAATTATTAATAAGTCAAAAGAAATTTTTAAAAAATATTACAAATTAGAAAAGCTACATTTAAAACAAATTTTTTTTTAATATTTTATTGTTTTTATTGGGGATTTATGTCATTGTCGTCCAATTTTGATGAAATTTTCGGTTTAAATTATTAAATTTTTAACTATTTGTCGAAGAACTAAAAACAAAAGTTAAAAAACAGCAAACTTATCATTTTTTTTCATTTATTTTTCCGATTGTTCCTATGTAAGCTATATGCTATAGTCGTCCGATCCGGTTCGTTCGGACTTATATACTACCTGCAATAGAAAGACAACTTTTGGGAAAGTTTCATGCAGATAGCTTTAAAACTGAGGGACTAGTTTGCGTAGAAACGGACGGACAGACGGACATGGCTAGATCGACTCTCCTAGTGATGCTAATCAAGAATATATATACTTTATGGGGTCGGAAACGTCTCGTTCACTGCGTTGCTAACTTCTGACTGAAATTATAATACCCTCTGCAAGGGCATAAAAAGACTACCTCAATTCAAAGAACATTGCAAAATCACTTTAAATTATTGTATTCAAGAATTCTTCGGTTTGGTGTTCTTGAACTTTGCCGCTAGCATTTTCCAATTTCCTCCATTAATCATACTAATTTAGTTGGTAAATTTCAAAAAACGTTGAAGAATATGAGAGATTGCTAGTTCTCTTTGCAAAAGTTTCGTGTTCGTGGCGATCTTCTTTGAGTTTAAATTGAGTATTCTTCCATTATCCATGTGGGGCTTTAAAGTCGCCCAGTTCCCCTCCCGGTCTCAGTGTGTCTCTGACTAACATTCTAACATAACTAATATAATCTTTAAGCTCGGCATTCCCGTTGCCGTTCCGTGTAATTCCCTCAGCCAGGCAACCTGAGGAGATGAAGTGAAGCGCAGTGCTCACCCAAAGGTAAACTACTTTGCCATGTCAAACAGCTTTGAATCTGCTGCAAAGAATGCAAACAGTTTCAGATATAACCTACAGCGATGTGGACCTGATGTGTGGAGAGGATGTTGCCTCAAATCGCACTTTAAAAAGATGCGCTGCTTGAGCTTAAGCTGTCATGAGAAAGCTGCTGAAATTGCAGTGTTAACGATGCAAAAATGTAAATGTATCTGCAAGTAGTTAGAAAAAAGTTCATCCAAGTAAGAACTTTCTTTAAATATAAAATTCTGTGATCCATGATCCATGTTTAACCTAAATTTGGTTTTTTGTCATGTTTATACCCTTGCAGAGGATATTATTATTTCAGTCAGAAGTTTGCAACGCAGTGAAGGAGACATCTCCGACCCTGTAAAGTATATATATTCTTGATCAGCATCACTAGGAGGGTCGATCTAGGCATGTCCGTATGTCCGTCTGTTCGACTGTCCGTCTGTCCGTACGTTTCTACGCAAACTAGTCTCTCAGACATCACTGTCCCCAGTTTTTGTAAATTTGTGTAAAACGTTATAAAACTTAAAAGGAAAAACTAATTGTTTCTTCTTTTTTACCTTTACAATGTGCGATGTCGGCTTATAACTAAAAAATATAAAATAATATTATATCTAAATAAATGCAATCCATTGGCTAAAGTGATTTTCAGTGGCACGCATTTTAAAGGGAATGCGCAACACTTTAATTGGCCCATTTATCAGTTCCAGAAAAAGTATAAAAGGCTCAAATGAAGGCCTGTCTAATTGGCCATGGTTGGCATTTCCCCCTTGCAAATGAGTGTTATTGATTAGTGCAATTTGATTTACTGGTTTTCACTTACATGAAGCCAACTCCTGCAGCTGCAAAAATTCGCGCGGCGACAATTTATCCCATTTCTGTGCTGCGATGCCAATATTCATTTTGCCTGAAAATATGCAATACATAACAAATAGTGACAAATTGTAATTTCCATAATAATGCGGAGTGGGGCATTGAGGGGCGACAGACGGGAGTGCGAACGCATAATTTATGGCATTCGCATTTGCATTTCGAATTCGCAATGTAAGTGCCAAACTATCGACAAACACCCCGTACATCGCCACAAAAATACGTGGGTTCTGCGTACGTGATTGTAGCATCGGCAATCAATACATTTTGCATAATGTGTGCGATGAGAACCAAATTGCTTTAAACTGTAATCTCCCGTTTCTACACACGACCCGACCTTTCACACACTCGCACACACATTCTGGCAAATATTTTTAGCCGTTCTCAAGTGGCCATGGACCAGAGGGTCCTGTGATGCCTGTCTAATACAGCAGAACTTCGCAAACACATTAGTCCACATAGACATAGCTTCACTTCGATTACATGCCATTTTGTGGCTTTAAAACGTTGATTGTAATAATTATCATTATGTGGCTTTAATAATTCAACTATACCAAATATCAATAAAGATGTTTAAAACCGTGAACTTGGATTCTTCATTAATTATTATTAATTAGATTACGTGAATATAAAAGAGCTTAGTCATCCTAAGGAATTTCTAAAAAGCTTGGACTTCACAAGGATTTTCGCTGAGCAGACTTAAAGAAGTCCAAGGAAATGGAGATTAAATATAAGTTTCAAAAGCTTAAAGAAAAATAATAATTCTTCTCTAAAATGTTTATCTAAGTTATTTATTTCCTTATGGAGTTTGTTTTCGATATAGAAAAGATATTGATCAATATGATTTTTAAAGTTTGGCTGAATAGGACTTGTTAAACAGTCGGTCATAATCAAATTGTATACAATGTGTTTAAAATGTGCCTTCAATGACCAAACCATTTTTCATTACTTTTATGATAATTACCAACGCATAAGAAATAAGAAAAAAACCTTTTCAATTTATTTTTCCCACGTCTCTTAGTGCCCTTAAGTGCCCAGAAAATATCCCACTTTGAAAACTAGCATATGGAGAGCGTGCCAATGGCCATTAGCCAATTTTAGTTTCCGCCATATGTCTGCCTCTTTGCACGTGTGTGTGTGTGTGTGGGTAGTGTCGCCTGCCGTTTGACACGTCATTACTGGCCTAGTCATCATCATCAACATCAACATCGTCATCATCATCGTTGGGATGGCCATAATCACGTGCTGTGGGTTAATCAATGGCATAATTTCCCCGCGGATTCTCTGTCACAGTTGTGACGTCACGAGAGTTTAAGGCATTTCGGGTAGCACACACACACACACATGGCAATCAAACGCCCACGCACACACAAATGCAGAGCAAAGGCATGTAGGTATGATGTGTCAGCCACAGACAGACAGGCAGGGTATCTATATACGATATATATTATAAAATAGAGGGGGGATTGTTCCTGATATATATGCTTATATTTGTTGGCTTGGCTTTTCTGCGTTCTCAATTCGGTTGGCGTTTATTTTTACTCTCTGGCCATTTAGCGTTTTTATTTATTCATTTCACAAATCTTTCTCTAAAGCTTTTGTCTCGCTGATGTTATATTTAGATGGCTATAATCAACTGATTGGCTAACTTATCATTTTATACACTGCCGAGCACTTAACAAGTAAAATTGCGGAGGGACCAAATGGAGAATGGATAAAAATGGAAAATGATATTTCACGAGCGTTTTCCGTTAAACGCAAAAGTAGTTTGTCCCTTTTAGCTCGTAAAATCTTAATAGAGACTCGTGCTGCCATTACTCTCAGCTCATTTGTCCTTAATGCCCGGAGCTCGTTGCGAGTTCCTGCAATGCTTGGATAATAACCCAATGAAAATGCAAATGAAACTCAGAAATAAATAGTGCAGCATACATGGCTTATGCGCAATCTGAATGTTAATTGCGCCGTTAATGGTGGGTGTGTGTGCTGGTTAGTATTTTTCAGGCATCATCATAAAATTCGCATTCTAGGAAGCTCGATATTTGGATATTCGCGTGCTTTCTGCTCGTAATGGCCCTTGTCCAACGGCCAAACTTCAGTAAATTGGCTTGGACTTTTCTGTCTTTGTTGGTCGATGGATACGCACATCCTGCCGCTCTTTGACATTGGCGTAAAAAAATAACCCAGAGAAGGACGGAAAGAGGGTTCAACGGACCTTCAAGTACTATGCTTTTTATGCTGTCCACATAAAATATTATTAGATTATGCGTTCGCTTCATCCGCACACAATGAGCATCAGATTCCGATTCAGCTTGTCCTCGTACATACATATATGTATATGCTTTTAGTATGTTTGTGTTGGAGCTCTTATTGTTTTAGCCGAAACAAAAACGCCATAAAATCTAGCACATAAATGTCCAACACAGAACCATTTTCCCTTCTTTTTATGCTTAAAATTGGCCCGCCAAATCATTATACTTCAACGGTCCACCGTCCCTCTATCTTTGAGTAGAACAATAATAAAAGTAAATCAAATAAAACAGCAGCATATTGCGTTTTTTATGGCCTTTGCCATTCTGGGCCTGTTTAATGGCCGCCGCACTCTGATCGCAGGCCAAAAAATCAGTTTTTTCCAGCACATCAATAACCATTTTATTTATTCAAAAACGAGATTTCCCTCGCAAGCGAATTGTAATTAGTTAATCAAGATTTATGATTTTATGGAACACTCAATCAAGGCACATTTTAATACATATCAGAAAAGGGTTTCTTATATTTATTATTCAAATAGCTAATAAATATGGATTTATTAATGCAATCTGGAAAATAAATAAAGATTCAAATAATCTTTTGTTGACAACGCGAAATTAATACTCAAGTGGAAGTATTTTTTGCCTATTACAAAAAGGAATGAACAAGTTCGAATTTTACTTCAAATAATATAATAAGAAATGTAATAGAGAAGTTTTTTTGTAAACATAAATATATAAAAGGTTTTTTCAATATTAAATACGCAAATCGAAAATTAAACATGTATTCAATTAAATAAAATTAAACTATAAATACCTTAAATAAATATGAAATGCTAAAAACAAAATTAAAATTAAATTAATTTAAAAATTTAGTGAACACTAAATGCGCAAAATATACATTTTTATATTATGTTAGGCATTATAAAATTATTATTAGTAATTTTGCCAAGCCGAAGCTTATAAATCTTTAAAGCAATAAGAAATACTAAATATTATTTTGTAGTATTATTTAGTCGTTCGTTTTAAAATAGTGAAAACCGTAAGTAATTATCTATTCCTAATAAATAACTGTGGGCATGTAATGAAATAGTAATACAAACACGCTGGTAGCGTATACCCTTCTGCAAGGGTATAAAATGGGACATTTTTGGTTTAAGTAATTAAAAGGTCGTAAAATCTTTTAGTAGCTGTCGGTTAAGTTTTGCCTCGAATCTTCGTCGCCTAAGTAAAATGAACGGCAAAAACATGATTTTCCTAAGCAATACATTCATTCAAAAATATTTTGAACCTCTTGTTTTTCGTGTTTTTTATAATATTCATTTTAAAAGGTGTCCAGTGCACCATGCGAGCCATTCTGAACATAAAAGTTTTAGTTAAAAACTGATTTTCATCAAATTGTTAATTTTGTGCTAAACTGGTCTTCAAGTTTTCAAAATAAACAGGTCTTAAGTCGTAATTTCGGTGTTTCTATTTTTTCTAGCCCATAAAAGAAGTCCCACAAAAAATTGGGGGACACCCAAGTAATGAAAGCGTAAGCGATTAAAAAACAAGCAGGAAATAAAGTACGGATATCAGTGCTTTACGTCGAACAATTTTTTTGCGAGTCATAAATTAGTTAAAAGGTAATCATAAACAAATATTTTATTTAAATAAAAAATTTAGTTTCTTATTTTTTACTCTAATATTGGAATTTTTGGCAACTAGTTTATTTGTTGTTTTAAAAACTTACTATTTAATTGCTATTATTTACTATCTAACGAATATTACGAAAGCAATTGCGCCTTCTTTTCTTTTATTAGTTTGGCAGTCCAATTTGTGTGACAACTGACCCTGTCCCTGATCGAAATGCGAATTTCCCTACAGCTCGGCTTAATTTTATTTTCTCAGATAGAATACAAACTTGAATCTTATCATTATTGTTCCATATTTAAACGAAGTAAAACTACTCTTTACTAAATTTACTTACTTTTGTTTGTTTAGCTGAGATTACTTTGTTGACAAATAAAAAACTTTAAAAAATTCGTTTCTTAATCATTTTACAACTTAAATAATTTTTAGCATTTTTGTACTTGGTTTGGATTTGATTTCGATTGGTACTTAAGTTACGTACTTTAAGTACGTAATCGACTTTTAATCAATACCGATTGTATTTGTTTTTTTTTTAGTGTCGTATTCTACACGAGTCCTAATTTTTTATATCCTTAAGATTAGTATTTATCAACTTACAAACTGTTTCAACTATTTGCCAATTAAATAGCATTCTTTTAATGTAACCCCAATTGCGAAACATTTTAAATGATAAAGGAGCTTTGTGTCGAACTCGTTCAGACAAGAGTGCAGTATATAAGTAATTTAAAATAAATTGATGTCAGGTCGTAAATATATTATTTGGCTCCATCACGAGGACATGCAGAACCAGCACGGTTTAATTATTTAAGGCGTGAATATATGCAAAGGGATATATGTCCGTCACCAAACAGAGCTCAAAAAAGTCTGAGACGAATCGCGTTTTAATTAACGTTCCTGATTTGATCGGCAAAAATAAATCCAACAAAACAGCGCAAACCATGCATAAAGTCAAATATATTTTCAATCGATTGCTCTTCCCTTTGGCATTCATGGCGTTGAGTGCGAAAAATGTTTACCTCGCTGAATATGAATGGCAACGAGTGTTTGCTTTTAATAAATTGACATTATTGTTTATCTGATGCGTGGGTCGTGCACTCCCAGTAACTCTCTCCATTGTTTTTGGCTGACAATAATACAAACAGTCAGTGAAAGCGAAAAAACACACTGCAAGATTGTCAATAAGGAGTGTGCACATAGTTCACTCGCTCCCATTTTATTTTAGTTGAGTGCACATCAGCCGGTGGCTATTTGGATGTAGGATCGTGAATACTGTCAGCGACAATGCTCATCAATAGCCATGAGGGAGGTACTGAAAAACTTCACAAAACTTTGCTTTAAAACTTTTTTGTATAATTAAGAAAGGTTGATTCAAATAAAACTCTAATCGGATTGGCATTCAAGCTTTTATGATAATGTTTCTGGTTTAGAATCAGGCGATAAATTATGAGGATAGAAAGCTTAGGTCTCCAGCTAACCGACATAAGGTCTCATTGTGATCATGTTAAAATACAATATTCTTTCGTTTTTTGTACTCTTGCAGATAGTTTTGGTCGAAAGTTTGTAACGCAGTGAAGGAGACGTTTGCGACCCCCTTAAGTATATATATTCTTGATCAGGATCGGGAGTCGATATAGCCATGTCCGTCTATCCGTCTAACTGTCTAATTTAATACCGTTTGTGAGCTTAGTTTAAAAGCTAGCGATTGAGCTTTCACAGTTGTCCTTAAACATATGTACTATGTCGTCAACATCCTATAGTGCACATAGGAACAATCGGATATAACATGCAAGAATTGAAGATATTTCGCGCAGTGTAAAAGCTATAAGCGCGTGCCAATAGCTCCCATAGAAACAATAGGGTGAAATCGCTTAAAATTGTATACTTTTCAGGATATTTCGCGCAGTATATAAGCTATTTCGGCAAAGTCTGCAAGGGTGTTAAAATTTTGGCTTGCCAAAGTTAGCCTCCATCCTAGTTTTAGTTTTAAACTCTGAAATTAATTTCAAACATTTGAGAAATGAAATTCTAATATTTACACATTGAATGTAAATTTTTAAAAAGTTTTAGGCTTAAATCAGAGCTTGTTAGACTTTAATTTTAATTTTATTATTTTCTCGTTAAATTTAAATAAGTTAATTTTTAAAGACAAGTTGTTAAGTATTAATTATAAAAAACTTTGTTTTGCAGATTTGAAGGAAGCAAAGTTTGGCAAGTCGAAGATGATATTCAAGTTTGCAGCCATTTATTATTTATTTTAATATTCTATACAAGGACAATTGCCGATTTTTATGCAAGTGTAAGCATGTGCTATTGAATTCTATATTAGACACCATGTTTTCTGAAAGCACTATACAAAACTGTTAGCATACTTTTTGGGGAGTGTGTCAACGGAGCTGCAGGCTTGAAACCGTGTTGCATGTGGCACATGATGCTGCCTGTGTGGTGGTATGCGGTTTACCCGTCTGCTAAACGCCGTAAGCTGACGGTTTAACTTCCCACATCGATGGTCAGATGCGAAAGAAAAATAGAACGATTATGTAAGAAACAACAACGAATTTTTGTTTACTTTGTATATATATTTAAGAATTTTATTCATAACCGTTGTAATAGTCTACCTTTTGTTCCCGTATACCTCCCCAGAAACAAATTTCGCACAACAGGCCCCGCGGAATCGAACTGCACTTGGTAGAAGAGACCGGACATATGTTGCACTAAATAAACACGAGAGTGTAACGCAAAAAACACGACAGTCAGAAGCGGAAGGGAAGCCCTTGAGCAATTAAAACTAGTGATATATGATTGGGCGTGGCTGTCGTATAAAATGCAATTCTGTTTCCACTGACTTTGACAGGGCTGACCACGAATGTCTGCTGAGTACATCCAACATATTTTTATACCCTTGCAGAGGATATTATAATTTCAGTCAGAAGTTTGCAACGCACTGAAGGAGACGTTTCCGACCCTATTATTGATATATATATTCTTGATCAGCATCACTAGAAGAGTTGATCTAGCCCTGTCCGTCTGTCCTTCCCTCTGTCCGTCCGGTTCTACGCAAACTAGTCTCTCCGTTTTAAAACTATCTGAATGAAACTTTCCCAAAAGTTGTCTTTCCATTGCAGGTAGAATATAAGTCGGAACCAGCCGGACCGAACGACTATAGCATATAGCTCCCAAAGAAACAATTTGAAAAAAAAAAAATAAAAAAAAAATTATAACTTTGCTATTTTGAATTTTTTTGTAGTTCTTCGACATTTAGTAATGCTAAAATATTTCAAAATTACGGTTTAAATTTCATCAAAATCAAAATCGGACGACTATAACACAAAGCTCCCATGGGAACAATAAAAATATTAAAAAAATTTGTTTTTTAATTTAACTTTTATATTTTGTTTTTTTTTTAAATTCTTTTTGGCTCATTAATAATTTGACAGTTCAGAATGACGGTTTTAATTTGATTAAAATCGGTAAACCGATATTATATAGCTGCCATAGGAACTTTCGAATAACTGAGCAGCAAATCATAATGGCTTCAATGATTTAAAACATAAACGCATGTAAATAATAATTTTAATGTTTGCAAGAATATTTTAGCAATAGCTGCAAGAGTATATGAACTTCGGCTTGCCAAAGTTTGCTTCCTTTCTTGTTTTCAATAATCTCCAAGTGTTTTTCAAAGATTTTAATTTTATTTTAATTTTTTTAAGAGAAGGTTGGTTACACAATTTGTCTCTATTGAGAACAGTGGGAACTTAAAATGATAACCCTTACTTACAAATTTAAATTGAAAAGTTTCTCTATAGATTGCTTTACCAGAACTAAGGATAAACAAGAATCAACGACAATGTAGAGTGCCCCGACTATTAGATACCCATTACTCAACTCAGTTACCAAACTTTAAAATAAATATGCGCCCAGAAAAAAATCGGGGCTTAGGTGGCGCCATCTGCAATGACGTCATAATATAACTTTATTGCGTAAAGTAATGGTTCATAGGCTCTTAGAGTCATTCTGTTGAGTAATAAAGCTAGGTTACGTTTATAAACTATGACGTATAACCGTTTGAGGTCCAAAAAGGCAAAAATCATTTTTACAACTTAAAATAATTGTTATTTAAATAATATTATATTATAAAATATAAGAACGTTTAAATTTTTATATTAAATATATTTATTTTATTTATTAAGTTTTTTTGTTTTAAGAGGTATTGTTTGATTTTTATTATTTCTTTCTATTATACAGATTCAAAATTGGTGAATATATAACATAACATTTCAAGGACAACCCTATGCAGGCAAGGTGGAACGTAGTCAAATGAGGTTTTAATAAGTTTTTTGGAAAGTGAGCTGCATATTTGAACTTCTACAGTAGTTTTAAGCGTACAACTTTTCTCCTAATACCCTGTACCAGACAACGCTGGTCACGTACCGCAGGAACCACGCTTAAAGCGTGGCGTCTGGTCGCGTCGCTTTTTGCTTTTTTGCACACTTCCGCTTGTCAAATGAAGGACCGGAAGGGAGGGGAATGGCGACGGGGAGCCACAAAGACGGCGACGGAGAAAGCGAAAAGCTCGCTGTCATTGTTATTTCGCTTCGGTACAGAACGGCTGTATTTGCAGCAGGGCTATATAGTTCCATAGTTCCACAGCTCCTTTATCAAATGCTGGTCATGCACAATCAGCTGCAAGACTGGAGGCGGTGCCAACAAAGGGAGATGACAACTGTTTCTGGAGGGGACGAGACTGGGGATCCAATACACAGAGCTCCCGCTTTTGTGACAGCAATTGAATCAAATTTATTGTCCGCATCCGATGCCATGCAGTTTCCACTCAACGTCGCGAACCCATTGTCAGCGTGGTATGTAATGTCACGTCCTCTTTTTACGAGGATCAAGTGCACAAAGTATGACGCCGAAGCGATTTGAAATGAAAAAATTAAATATAAATGAGATTCGCGCGTGGATTTGGCTCTAAGCTTTGGACCAACACCATGCGATCAAAAATGTCAATAGCCCCAGGCAAGTAGCATTAAAACCATCCATTCGAAATAGAAATATTGTTTGGCAAAAAAAAAAAATAAATAAAAGCTCACCACATAAATTGAAAATCGATGAGTGAGAATGTACACTCATTGATGTATTTAAAAATGGGGAATACTGATTTTTTGGGTTTTGTTAATATTTTTCAAGGTTTTAAATACCCTTTTAAATAACAGTTTAAATAAATATTTTTTAATGAACTCATTTCATTTGAAGTCTATTTAAAGTTGATTAAAAAAAGTACCAGTTTTTTATCAAATTAAGAATAATGGGTTATATTTCTCCAAAATATGATTTTATGTGTTTAATATTATATTATAACTCGAGTACAAAAACACTAAGTTTTAACAAATAGCTGATAAAACCTACGGATGTCGAGGATTTGGAAGGTATAGCTTCGCACAATTGACCTTTGTTTGCTTTCAGTTTTCCAGTGCCGTGGTCATCATAAAAGGTTTTCCGTTTTCCTTCGCCAGCTTTCACCTCTCACTTTAAACTGGGCCAGCCGACTGATGCAGAAATTTTCGTTCTTTGTATTTCTGCACGATTTAATTGCTGTTAATTGGCCAGCTAAACAGTTGGTGTTACTTTGTTTTATTGCCAGCGTGATGGAAACAAAAAAGGAGAGGCGCTGGGTGTTCGGCCGAGGGAAAACTTTTAATTTTATTTACGTAAAAAGACCGACAAGTACGTGCCATGAATGCGTAATTAATGCTCGAAAATGTTTTATGCCGAAAATAACTCCGCCAACAAAGTCTCCTATTAAGGGCAGCAGAGGATGTCTGCCACGGGCAAAAAGGAAGCACGGCGAAAATTGCCGGCAACGCCAACCCATAAACATAAAAGTAGGCACCAAAGCTGAACTCCAAGCCTCGTACCCTAACTTTAACCCATTTGCAACCCGATTTCCACGCTTTTCCGTCATGTCATCCTCAAAAGTAAAAAAAAATGTTAAGCACATTCAGGTCTTCTAATTTGCAGGAAAAGACATAAAATATTAAAAATTACTTTTCCATTTCAAAAATATTATTTTAGCAAAATACAAAATGTAATCTTTATATAGAACATATATTTGGGCACCTTAACTTCATGATTGACAATCAAAAAATGATAATTTCATTTGCTTATTTAGGTAACCGTGTTATGGTTTTTCTTAATCTTAGATACATTTGGGAAGAATACCTAATATTAAAAGTAAACTTACATAATACTTATTTTAAACGTACAAAAACCGATTTTTCCTAGTGTTTGGATGTGTTAAAATACATTTCCGCCCGCAATTCTGTAGAGGTTTCCCTCCGGCGAGCGAACCCTTTGACTTTTCACTTTGATCGACGCCCGGACAGCCTTCAGTGGAAATTGATGACGCTACACCTCACTTGCCCCCGTTTTCCCTGGAGGCGATGCAAGATTGGGAGGTGTGTTCATGCTCATGAGTTGCTGAATATAATTTCTTGAACAATAAAAACAGTTTCGTCTTCGATAAACAGAAGCGTGCTGGAGGAGAATGGCCGGTGATCTATAAAAATAGACAGGCAAACAAACAAATCGATGGCTGGATTGAGGGACGCTCGCGTCTTTCGGCACATACAAAAATACAGCATGATCTTATGCTGACCTTACACATTTGCCCCACCTGGTCAACTAAGCAACCAGGGCAGCTTGGTCAACGGGGATGACAGTTTTGGAATTAAAATAAATGAAATTCCTTGGCTATCAATGATTTAGTATACTTAAATTTTGAAAATATTTTCCTTGCTTTCTTTTAAACAAAAAAAACCTCCTTGTGAGTTAAAAAAGTAGTGACGATTGCTACTTAAACAGTTTCTGGGAAAAATTAGAGGAAATTTTGTTTGCTATCAGGCGTTTTTCAAAAGCCAACTTGTTTCCAATTGTAAGTCAGAAGTCGGAAGCCGTTGAAAATGGGTGCACTGTACTCCTCCGGTCTCTAAATTTTATTATTTTATATTTCCACCCGAAATATTACTGAACCAATTTATTTTTAATTAGTCTTAAATAACTCTTTCAACTAAAAGATACATATAATAATTTCACAACAAATTAGAAATGAATTAATTAATTTTTAATTTTGTAGCTATTTTCACAATTTTACAAATATTTTACAATTGTATGAAATTGCTAAACATGTTACTTTTTTTAATGGCTTTTGCTCAATAATTTTTGAAAGCAAGGAAATTCGAAAACTAATTTTTAGTCATTGCATTTGGCACAATTATGTTACATTTTATACTCTGCTCAGAAACTATTTGTAAAAAATGTTGTTCCAATTATTAAACTTTTTTAATGCTTATAATGTATAAATTTATTGGGTAGATCCTATTAAGGAATTACATCAGCCATATTGTTATGTTTCATTTTATTTCTCTAATTTGTTTTTCATATTTAAAAAAAGTTTTATTTTTGGTCATTTCTATTGGGAAATCAGAAATGGACCGCTCAAGAAACACGGAAATCCAAGCGGAAAGCAAAACAAGAGCCTCGCGAGGCAAGGGAGAGCGATTTGATTGAGTTGGCACAATTAGAAAGATTTCCAGATTTGCTCGCTTTGTTTGAGTTTGTTTTGGTTGCGGTCTTAGCCGCTTCCCGAACTCGTGGATGTTTACACGGATGCCACTGCTCCTTTCCCCTGCGGTTAAATATTTGATGAACTGAAGTGGAAAATTTGAACCAATGTACTAAGCAAAGTGTTTGAAAGGGCGGAAATCAAGTGGCTAGGGGCTGGACTCTTTAAAAGGCGGTTGCCCTGAATATCCTTTTTCTGCCGGCACCAGAAAGTCATTTAAGCCGGGCCACGCCCCTCCATTCAGCGTGACAGATGAGGAATAGCCGCACTTCCTAGGCCAGTGGCCAAATCGATTCGGATTCGTTTTGGCCTGCAGCAATGCCCGCACTTACAACACACGACCTAAAATAGCAAACGCTTTTTGGCTGCCCCAAATTACAAACGCACATGGATAGGGAATATAAATCTGTGTGGTATCTCGTAACCGATTGAATGCATTGAGAAAAGTAATTGACATTTAAGGAAATACAAAAAAAAAAAATATATATATATATAAATATAGTTGTATTGTAATTTTAAATTGAAAGACTATTATATATGTTTAGCAAAAATTATATATTAAGCACTACGCAACGGGATTCATAATTAATAAACGTTTATTTAGAATCATTTCAGAATTTTTTTTTTTAAATGTTGATTTTTCAAAAATGTAATCTAGATGTTAAAATATGAAAAATGAAATTTTGTAAACTGATAACATAACATAACTAATTAAAAATATATGTATGCCCAATCAAATATTTCCTACGCAAGTTTGAGCAAATCTAAAGTTAATCCAATTATTTTAAGATGGCATTTATTGTAACTGAGTAAGTCCAGAAAAAATATCAAATGGTAAGTTCCTCGAACTAGTTTGTTTTCTCAGTGCAGAGTACAGCATATAGCACTCACCACCCGGGCGGCCTCTGACGTCAGAGCCCCTTTCGACCGCAGCGAAAATGGCTACTGAAATGTTGACGTCGATGGCGTTGCGAGTAACGGATTTGTCTCTGCCCTGTTATTGTTTAACTCACAGATACTCCTGCCAGTGTGTGCGGGTATCTGTGCGGTTTATTGACATTCAACGGCGAGTGTGCGTATTTGTTTTGGTCAGAGCCAGAGATAGATGAAAAATTGATTGTGCTTTACCTCAACAATTAGGCAAGCTGAAAAAACAAGCCCAGTACTTGGCACCGTCATTCATGTGTGTCAATTAAGGGTTCTCGGCGATTGCACAATGCACCCGCCGACATCATCGTCATCATCGGAAAAGTGGGCTGGAAACATTCTCGGGTTGCCACTGGCGACAGTTGGCCAATATTGAGACGGAATGCCTGACACATGTAACAAATTTCGAGCACTCGAAACTCGAATAAATCAAAGACATGACAAAATATTGAAGGCTTTTTTTCGCATAATTGGAGTGCCACGCGTTGGCAAAGGCAAAGCCAAGCCGACTGGAACAAAATGCAAGGACGGGGCAACTTAGACTGTCACTTTTGATAGGCTAAGTGTGAATGCCAGAGGATGAGTAGATTTATCATTTCCAGAACCGAAATCAAAGAATAAAAAGTTGACTTTTATCACTATGGACGGCAGTAGCGAAGATGCGCACCGGTAAGCGTGCGCAGCGATGCTACTATATAAAGCCGCAATGTTCGAAGTCAACTAATAGTCCGAGCTTAATAAATGATATATCAATCCAAAGGTATCACTTTTATAAAAGTTTGTGCATACTAAGAGTCTTAGAAAGTCACTTAACTTTCGAGAAATGAGGGCGAAAGGGCGAAAAAATGGTTGTCTTATACTGGAGCTTTATGGATCTTTTGGGCTTTAAATGCGCGTCCAACGACAAATATATTCAACTAACAAGACAAATACAGCATTTTTCAAATGAGAACGTTTTTCTGTTTTTGGTTTTTATGTGCGTATCAAAGCGATGTATTTACAGTATTAAGCAGCTCGACCAGAAAAGCTTTTGTTCTGACACTTTTTGGAATGCCACCAGCTTAGTTCAAAAAGTTCACACGCCTACAACTTCCAAACGACTAGAGCTACGGTTATCGTTGACAAGGTATTGTTAAATGCCATTTACATATTTATTTATTTATTTATATATTGTTGCAATTCCGATTGATCCAATGGGAGCTATGTGATATATTCGTCCGATTTTAATCAAATTTAAAAAGAACTAACAAAAAAATTTAAAAACAGCAAAGCTGTGAAATGGTTAAGTAACAAGGCTGATTTTATTGTACAGCTTTGTGCCGATTAGGAAACAAATTAAATAAAATTAAAGTAATTATTTTATGGTAAAATAAATAATAGTCGTCACAAAATGTGATATTAGAAGTTTTGGGAGTTCAAGGTACGATCTTTACGCTAATTTTACCTCGTCAAAAGGTGTTTTTGTCTGTTGTATTTCAGTCCAGACTTATAGATATTTTACTTTCGGTTTTTTTTAAGTCCAAGGTAGAAATCAATTTTTTAAGATTTCGAACTTCGTAAGTAAACCTTTTTGAGAAAATAACTAAACTTAATTGGAAATTAGTATTAGGTGTACAAGTAGAAAACCGCCGTTTGTTTTCATAGTTTGAGGCTTTATTGCGTAAAAATAGCTACATACTGATTATTCAAAATAGAGAGCTCCTGTGATGGATTCTTGTTGTGTCTGACAAGAATCTTCATCCAACAAAGCCTCCAAAGCTGCATCTTCAAACTTTTTCACGGGACCCGGCCGATCCTTGACTTCCACGTCATAATCACCATTTTTGAATTTCACGAACCATTCTCGGCACGTTCTTTCACTGATACACGACTCACTATATGTTGCTACAATCATTCGACGCGCTTCAGCAGCAGATTTTTTCGAATGAATCGCGAAAAGCAAAATCTCCCGCAAATTACGCTTATTCGGTTCAAATTTCGACATCTTCGCGCACCAACAAAAAAATGGACAATGAGAATAGACGAGCGAGATGATGTAGAGTTGTTGACCGATACCTAAGCTTGCCATGTGATGCTTCTGATCGAAATTCCCTCACCGACTTCCAAAGGTGGCGCCACCCAGTGGAAAACGGCGGTTTTCTACTTGTACACCCAATAAATTAAAAGACTGCAATAATATATGCCTTATATTTAACAACAAATAATTTAGCTTAAACAAAATCATGAAAAATAAAAAGATGTTACATTAAAACTTTGCATCAAACATTGGGATAATCGCCTTGAAAAAAATGTTGTACTTTTTGACATACGAACATGGAAATGGGTTTCGATGATGACGCGTTTTGTTCCCGATTTCGTTGGGACACAACGTTTTGTGCCCATTTTTGCACACACTCCCTGTTGCAGGACGATTTTTTACAGAACGTTAACCCAGAATGGCACATCCCGAAACGGACTTTGGATTAGTGGAGTCCTTGTGGCCCGCCCATTTGCGAGGGCTCCAACCTCCACCACTCACACCCCAACAAACTCACACACTTTTGTCGGGGCTGTCAGAGGCCGTTATCACATATTGCCGTCACTTTGTGTTCGCCAACGCCGCTATGTTTGTGGCCGTGCGCAATGCGCAAGCCCTCTTATGCCAAAGGTCCTGGTCCGAGTCCTTGTTCGCATAGTCGCATATTCGCATAGTCGGATAGTCGGATAGTCGCATATCCGCGTGTGGGACATGTGCAAATGGCAAATGGTGAATGGCAAATGCCAAGTTGGTCAAATCGTTTTCGCACATGAGCCTTATTTGCATCTCATTAACATGCGGAGCTCTCGAGCTCCAACAATGGCTGCCGTGTCATTTGCGCTGCTATTTATATTTCTATTCCCGCTTTTCAATATGCCATGGGTCGGATAATTATTGCACTATAAATGGAATATTGGCGGGCCACGCCTAATGAGCATGTCCTTCAATGATTGACATGAGATGGCTGTGTGTGCGGGTAGTTAATGTCACATATTTTGATAAATTGTTTTACGACCATAATTTGTGCAACTTTTATCGCCTTTTTGTAATGGCTTTCCTATTAGTGTTTTATGTGCCGTAAAAGTAGCCCCACAGAACACGCATTCATCATTATGTTGATAGTTGATAGAAGTGGCAACAAAATGAAATTAAATTATTTACACGGCTCTCGACGGGCGCCTTTTGCATTTTATGACAGCGCAAACAGCCCGCACTCTTATTTATTCAGCATTCTGTTGAACACGCGCTCAAATAATTTATGTTTGGCATAACCTTTGGGGCCGCCGGCAAACAGGGGCAAACAAGGGTTAACAGCCATGTCCCAGACAGAAACAGATACATATATACCTTCAGATACGCTGAAAAAACAACTGTTTAAAGAAATCTAAAAGCGTTCAGTTCTTGAAGAGTTTATCTTTGAATAATTTGAAGATCCTTCAAGAAAGTTTATATACCTTTGCAAATATTGCGAAAACTAAATTTTCTTTTAAACATCTACATTTCGAGTTGTACGCCTATATGTTTAAAAACATTAAAGCTATGATGATTTTTAGCTCAATTTTGTCAGCTGTATGAAATCGTTTTCCGATGGGAGCTATATGATATAGTCGTCCGATTTCAATCAAATTTAAACCGTTGTTATCAAATAACAAATCAGTACTATATCTCAAAGAACTGAAAAAAGAAAAATAAAAATAAAACAGTAAAGTCGTCCGATTTTGCAATAGGAAGACAACTGTTAAAATGGTTTCGGGCAGACAGCTTTAAAACTGAGAGACTATCTTGCAATTTATTCCTAATTGCGTGTCATGAAGGAAAGTCAAGCCCTGTTTAGTACAAGTCAAACTCACTGTGTACAGATGGAATATACGAGAATATTGGTCTCCGAGGGTGGGTACTGTTTACATTTTGATGAGCCCGAAAGACCGAATTATTTGACTATTTGTACGTATTTACATACCTTTGCGATGCTTCTTCCGTGACGCTTCAACAGAAAGGGAGTGCGACAGGGTAGCAAGCCGGAAAGATTCGGAAGATGGGGAGCTCCTCCGTAATATTAGTTCATGCTGCAAAGAAATTAGCACACAAAAAGTCAGCGGAAATTGTGAGGAAATCTGGTGAACAAACATCAGATAAGGCTAAGCAAACATTCAATGTTTGCGTCGTGAATTTTGCTCTTTGTACTCAATCGTTTTTCCGTCAAAATTAAACTAAGACGGTGCTTAACGTTGACTGGTCCAAAGTGTTAATTGCGATGCCCAAACAAATTAAATAATTAATTCGACGAGTTTACTTTTAATCAAGGCATACAACTTATCCAACAAACACTGCAGAATCTTGTGTTTACTCATGTCCTAACCCGGTGATTGCGTCTTTGAAGTTTCTCTGAGTTTCAGAATTTGCACTGCAATAAATTTATCTTAATATCCAAGCCATGTGGAAGTTTTGGTCGTCTGAGAGCATTTTTCATTCTAATGGAGTCGTCTGCACTATGCTAGGAAAACTTTTCTCTTTTGCACCACTGAAAACAATGCGAAATTTTATATGTATGTAGGTAACATATGGCCGGATGGTTGCAGGTACACATATGGTATAAAAATAGAAACTATGTTGGGAAATCTATTTATTGACCAGGTATAATAAGATTAAGAATTTTTTTTTATATTATGTTTGTGTTTTTCTAAATGGCTTTCTTTGTTATTTATTATAATTAATATTCAAATCAATACTTGGTTAAAAATAACAGATATTGTGCCAATTTGGTTTCAATACTTTTTAAAGGTATTTTTCCGAAATCCAACTTAAAAAGTGCTTATAAAAAAAATCTAACATAAAATGCCCATTTTTAATTCCATAAAACGAACACTGGAGATAAAAATAGTAAGTCCAGGTAAAGATTCAGTTATTTTCGAAATTGATTTTAAGGTCTTAAAGCTTTTTTTTAAATTTAAACAAAATTGAACAAAAGTACAACGCATTTAAAACTACACTGATCCGTTTCAATTTTAATATTTTTATAAATAATTGGTATATTGTAATATTAAATCATGTTATTTAATATGCGTTGTATATAATATTATGATTTTAATTTTAAGAAAATAAATAAATATGAAATTTAAAATATTGGATGCCAAGCCGTATTTTCTTTATCCGTGTGAAAATATCTCGAATTTCTGGATCTATTAGTTTAACCGCAACTGTAACTTTATTCGTTCGCCTTCCATTTAGTTCTGTGTCCCATGACAGAACACATGTTTAACATTGTGAATAGTGCACAACTTTGACATCAAACTTTGTTGTTTAAATAAATTTTGTGTTTCTCAATGTGTGAAATTGAAATTATTTCGGCTCAAGACCCCCAAAGAGCTTGGCCAAATGGAAAATGGCATTTTAATCAAGTTTCAAGGAAGTTCATTAGTAGAACGGCGTAATTTGAGTGTTTGGCTCAGTTCAATAGTGAAGCCAAACTTCGATTAGCCGCACTTTAGGGGGCGATAAGTCGCTACCATTAAATGCTCGTTAGTAGTCATTGCCATATCTATATCTGTAGCATTCGACAAATTATCTGCCAGTGCGTCGTTTGCGTTGGTTCTCTAACCAGAGCTGGGCAAACAAAAAACTGACATGAATGAAATTTACAGAGCGCCGAATGGCTCTTTTTGGTTGCTTTTTGGTTGCTGCCATTACACTGAATAACAGGTCAATTGCAACAGTTTCCAAAAAAACAACATTATGTTTTGATGCAAAATTTTCTAATTTTGTAACATAAATAATTATTTTTCTAATTGAATATAATTATTGTAATTTAATCGTTTGAGGCATGAAAGTCCGACCCTTTTTTTTTATTGGAAGAAATTAAAATAATGTACACTAAAATTTCATAATTTCTTGATTTTTATTAAACAGTGATTAGTGACCTTAACATTGCATGGGAAACTATAGAATAATACATATTGTACAATTCCAGAACATTTATTATAGTTCTTTAAAAATATATTGGGATTTGGTATGTGGCCTAACAACAAGTTTCGAGTTACAAGTTTTTCATTGTCTCATGAGCCATTGCTATGGTATGAGACTAAACTTTACTTTTGTTGTGCAGTGTTATGAGCTGGGCCGCATATCTTCTTTGCGTATCGCGTATCTCACCGCGGGCGAGGAAAATTAGAGGAAAAGGGAGGAAAAGGGAGGAAAAGCGGGCAGGCGACTTTAATGTGTACGCCACGCCCCAGGGCAAAATGCTTGCCTCACTGATTTGCGTGCTGCAAACACAACAAAAAAGACTGGGTGTAGGCACTCGGATTTTTGGGATACTTCGGTGCTGTGTCACATTTGTGTTCCGAGCTTTGTGCTATTTTTGCCAATTTGTTTGCTTTGCTGGCTGCGCGACGCTGCGGCTTATCACATAATTTGAATAAAGTAGCTGCAATCTTGTGTCAGTTTATCGCAAATTAGACCGACAACGGACGGGTCCAGATAAAAACATCAGCTAAATAGCAGTAGCAGCAGCAGCAGCAACGCGACAAATTGTCTATGGCCAGAGAAGTCTTCAGACTTAGTTAAATGTTGTGAAAGACAACCGACAGTCCTAACCGTGGAAGCCCCAACATTAAAAGTGATCCAGCATACGCCCTGGTGTCTGATGCACTTTTAGCCCCCCGATTTGTTTACTTTGTGCTGCAAAATCAAATTATGCACATGGGCGTCAGGTGAGGCGGAAAGAAGGGGAGCGAAAGATGAATGGGCAAAAATAATTGAATCAGAAGCAAATTGCAGGACATGTCGCCCGCCAGCATGCTGGCAACCGTCTGCTCCTCTTTCCCATGTCGCGGATGGTACCCGATGTTTCTGCCCTTTCCCGGACGTTGAGCAAATTGCCTGACACTTTTAATTATGGAAATTGACTAACGCTCTAATGGGTCACGAGAAAATATATATACGAAATGTGATGGAAACGCGGGGCATAAGTTAAGAAGTCACCGTTTCGTCAAATTTCCCCCTGACGTCCATTTGAATGTAAAGGCATTAACAGCTCTGTCATTGGCAATAAACACAGCTAATATTGCCCATTAAATAAAATATATCGAATCTGTTTTGATTGAAATAAAACGAGTTTCGACTCGGCATGAAGCAATCATTAATCTACCGAGAACGGTCATATGCCTGGACTATGCCAAAAATACGCAACCTAAATTTCCACGAACTGCGAAAAGCGCGTTTAATTGGAAAGTCGTTTTTATTTCTAGCAGTGAAAAGCTAATGAAAAGGGAAATCAAATCGAATTTTCCGCGTCACGCGAATTATGGCCTCAGCCCGATAATGGTGGTCTGCAGAGAGAGAAATTCAAACAATGTGTTCTACCGATTTGAATGCCATATATTTTTTTAGCTTGGGACTTTTTGGAATAAATTTAATAGCCCCGACGAGTTTTTATACCCTATAATAATTTCAGTCAGAAGTTTGCAACGCATTTAAGGAGACGTTTCCGACCCTATAAAGTATATATATTCTTGATCAGCATCACTAGCAGTGGCGATCTAGCCATGTCCGTCTGTCCGTCTATCCGTTCGTCTGTCCGTCCGTCTGTCCGCCCGTTTCTACGCAAACTAGTCTCTCAGTTTTAAAGCTATCTGCATGAAACTTTCCCAAAAGATGTCTTTCTATTGCTGGTAGTATATAAGTCGGAACGAGCCGGATCGGACGACTATAGCATATAGCTCCCATCAATCGGAAAAATAAATTAAAAAAAATTATAACTGCTGTTTTTTAATTTATTTTTAGTTTTTCGAGATATAGTAATGGTTAAATATTTCACAATTACGGTTTGAATTTCATCAAAATCGGACGACTATAACATAAAGCTTCCATAGAAACAAGAAAAATAAAAATAAAAAAAACGTAACTTTTTTATTTTGTAATATTTTTTAAGAATTCTTTTTGATTTATTAATAATTAGAAAGTACAGAATTACGGTTTTAATGTTATTGAAATCGGAAAACGATATCATATAGCTGCCATAGAAACTATCGAATAATTGAGCTGCAAATCATCATAGCTTCAATGTTTTTAAACATAAAAGCAAGTAAATAATAATTTTAATGTTTTCAAGAATATTTAATTTTTGCAATAGCTGCAAGGGTATATGAACTTCGGCTTGCCTAAGTTTGCTTCCTTTCTTGTTTTAAAAATCAATTAAATGACCTCTAAAAATTGCTTTCCCACGTTTTTATGTTTTTTAGAACTTTAAGCCCTTAACTTGATTATAGCAAAAGTCATGTTGACATTTGGAAAAGAAGGTGTAGCAATTTATGGACGATTTGTCTCCTTTTTCGCTGTGCACGAAATTTGGCTTCTGCAAAGGAATCCCTCTGGCTTCTGTGAGCTTAGCGGAAATATGTAGAAAAACATTTGCCTGTCAACGGGTCATAATCGAACAAGGGTATATGCATAAATGTATGTACATTTGGTCGGGGAATACAAGCACATTTGGTAATTGCACCTCGGCATGCTTAACATGATGCACTGGCACCGGGAAATATTAAGTGTGCCGCGGGCGAAGCGATGCTGGCCATTATTTATTTACATTTTTCGCTCTCGGTTCTTTATGTCATCATTCGCCTGGCTTTCCATCGGCATTTTCGTCGAGTGTTTACTTTTCCCCGCTACTGGCTGCTCTTTTCACTGATGGAATGAATTTTCCGACCATCCCGAAAGGTGTCTGAAAATTTACATATTCCGGGCCAGAAAGTTGGTCGCACTCTGCACCCTGCCGTTGGTTAATTTGGGGGCACCACGCGCACACACACCTTGGCTCACCTTTTCCCGCTGCTTGTTGGGCTTTTCCTGTCTTTCTTGGCGGAGCTTAAATTAATACTGCAGCCCAAGACCTGGGAAATGCGGCTTCTTTTGCTGTAGTGGCACTTTTCACTAGCATATTTTGCTGCGCAGTTGGACGCGTGTAATTGTAAATTATTTACGCTTGCTTGCGGCACTTGGCAAATGTTTAACAGTTGCTGTTTACAGTCACTTTGATGTCATTTACCAGGTACTTTCTGCGATTTCTTGATATCTCTGCGTACACGCAATGTTTTAACAGCTATTTTGGTTTCTTTTTATGGTATGTTATGATTTTGTTTTATTTTTTTTTTGTTTATTTTTTACTGTTTACTACAAAAATATATGGTGTTTTTAGGGTTTTCTTATGAAATCAAGAGCGCCTCCTTATTTTTGGGGAGCTTTTTCCGCTCGATGCGATCGCCGGCACGTCCACTTACGAAGTGAGGGCTGCGGCCGCTGTCACTTGCTTTTATAGTGGCCTCCCACGCTCTCTCTCTCTCTCTCTCTCTCTCTGTCTTTCGCTCTCTTTGACTTTCTCTCAGTTTTCTCCCTGTTATCAGTGGCGTCACTCTTTTCCCGGCTCTTCAACAGCTGGGCGGCTCTCTTGGCTGATTTTAAAAGGGCCATGTGATGCATTTTCTAATCAGCGGCTGCTTAATCTTGTGACGTCACTGAAAGCCACTTTCCCAATTGCACTAAGTACACACAGTACATAATGGCCAGTGTTTTTGTGACTTGTGGCCATAAATTAGCAAATAAATGTTGTGCTTGGCCAGATTTCAACTGGCTATTTGCTGCTCTTCGTGTTTATTTACACTTTTCGCTCCTTCGCCGCTTTTTGCTCTCCCTCTGTTGTTCTTTTGCTTTGTTATTGTTGTGCCTTTGCATCTGAGCTCTCTGTTGATTTATCTGAAAATATGTTATCTCAGAATGGCGCATAACTTAAACTCCCGCCGGGTTTTCCGTGACCTCTTATCCGCCTGGGAATTTAATATAAATAAATGCTTACAAGAAAAGTTTTTTCGGAAAATACGTCCATGTACCTTTTCAGGTCCACTCGATAAGCAGCTGGTAGAGTTTAGACAAAGTTTCGCCATTTTCAAATTACAAAACTTTGTTCTTGGCTATTTTTAATTATGTTAGAGTTCGGCTGAGTTCTGGGAGTACGTGTTTCTGCATATTTGGCTGGAAAAAAAATAATTATGAAAGTAATTAAAATGATCAAAAATACTTTAATAATTTGCAACTTTTTATTTATACTAATCTTAATTTAATTGAGTCTTACAATATATTACCAAGACATGCAAATTTGAAAATTTTAAAAAATGTGTGAAAAGTTTTTACAACATGCTCCGAAAACAGATAAAACCTAGTTTTGTGTCCAAAATGTAAATAAGTAAGTTAGTAGTTAACAAAGTTACCAAACAGTTTAAACCAAACTGTTGAGCAATAGGCAATATGAAGTAAATTGTTTCTTTTTCGATATATTTAAAAGCTGTCTATTTAAATTCAAGACAAATTTAGTATTAATAACAATGCCATTATTGAATATATATTTTTTTATAACACAATGATCTCTGAATATAATATTACATTACATGAAAAAACAAAAATTGTTAAAAAAATCAATTATTTTCTGATTGGCCTTGTAATATGAACCATATGAAGCATAGATTAAGCCGGAATCTGCTACGAGGATTGCTTATGTACTGCCGAAAAAGTAATTCGCGTCCATTGCCTGTACTCCGGATCTACGCATAAAAATTCGCGTCAATTTTCCCTCGCTTTACAGCAGATTGCCACTTTTGGCCACCATCTCCCGTCTGGTTTTTCTGTAGGGAGTTCAGAATTACGCACACACACACACACAAACACTCACACACTCGCAATCAGTGAGATGGGCATGCAAAAGCATTGCCATTTTATCGTTGCCTACTTTCAGGCAGCCACCATCAAGCTGTGCCAAAAATTGGAAATCCGCATCTACCGCCGCCTCAGCCGCCTCAGCCGCCTCCCCTTTTATTTTTAGCAGAAGCATAATTTTTTATTGATTGGATTTCAGTAAAAATCACTTCCGGCGATAAATTTGTTATGCAAGCAGCGATTCCGTTCGGTTATGTCCTGGCCTTCGGTTCTTCTTTGACTTCACAAAAACAGAGAAAAACTTTTCATGCTGGCGATGGAATATTTTCCAGTCCGTCTGACATTTTACAGGAATTCAGTGTGTTTTGATTTATTTTACTTCTGCGTCAATGTCAATCGTATCTGCAGACTTCAAGGGAAATATCCCTGCCTTGTTTAACTCGGAACTTGTTTGTTTGGCTTTCGTTATGCTCCTGCACTAATGGCCAATGGGGGTTGGCAAATGGGAATGGAAATGGCAAATGGCTACCAGTATTGACAAAGAAAATTTGCACACTGTTTGCCTTACATTACATGTGAGCGACCGAGACGGGGACGGGAAAGGGAACGGGGGCGGGGAAGGGGAAAAAGCCTTTGGGCCAAATCAAATACAAACATATTCCCCACAAATTACTACAAAATGTTATCAAAAAGCCAGCACTGCTGGCTGGTAATTTAATATTTCAATTCCTAGCGCTATGGGTTCATTGATCCCGATGATGTCCTGGCAACCAGTAAAGGGTCTTTGAGCATAAACATTAAGCATCGGGCGGCGTAAAATCGGAGCAAATGAACAACTAAAGACACGTCCATAACAACAGCTGCTGACCCACACACAAAGGCAGTCCGAGGACAATGGGTTGTCCTTAAGAGAACCGTGACGTCACATGTACATTGCAAAGAGATAAAGAGAGACTAACTCAAGGTATTTGATGGCGCATGCGCAAACCAAGGACTCTTCGGACTTCCGGCTAGCGCAGCGACCATATGACATCATTGAAAACAAACCCCGAGCTTCGGTAATGAAATTATGCGTTTTTTGCCATTTTTGTCACCGCCTTGGGCCGTGTATGTGCCAGTGTGTGAGTGCGGTGTCCGTGTGAATAGTTTTGGCTTCTGCTGTGGCGCCTATGGGAGCGCTGACGTCACTGATGCCACCGCTGCCGCTGCCTGTGCACTCGAATGTAAAATTGGCAAATAAATAGGATTTGATATTTAACGTCTCGCAGCAAGGAAGCCATGCGCCGAGGATGGTGACATAAGACCGAATCCAAGCAGCCAAACAAAATTCCTTGGCCAGCAGCAGTGCTGCCCTTCTTTTGGGGGACGAATCTGGCTAATGCGTTATTAACAATGAAGAGAAGAAAACATTATTAATAAACAATTTTTAGCTTAAACGGTTAAACGAAATTATCCCAAACCGTTTTAATATTTTTTATATAAAACAATTGTAAATGAATTATAGTAGAACATTGTATATTTTTCAATTATATATTTATTTAAAAAAAAAAAAAATAATAAACCACTTTATACCAATGTGTTACAGAATACAATTTTGTAAGTTTTTGTAAGTTTATGAGCATTACTAGGAAAATTTATCAAGCCATGTCCGTCCTTCCGTCCTTCTGTCCGTCGGTCTGCTGGTTTGTTCATTAATACGGAAAAAAGGCTCTCATTTACACAACTTTTCCAAAAGTTTTCTTTCTATTGAAGGTAGAATATAAGTCAAGGCAAGCCGGATCAACGACAATACCATATGAAAAATCGGGAAAGTAAATGAAAACAATTTAAGCTTCGATGTGTTTTAGTTTACACCAATAAACTTCGAGATATAATAATGGTGTACTAAATATATATGAATTATGGACTTTAATTTATTAAAATCGGACCTTGCTGTCATAAGTCGGTAAGTCCTTATAGATTTATTGTTTTAAAACTTATACGGATAAAAATTATATTATAGTCCTTGTAAAGAATTTTTTATTTTTATAGTAGCTGCAAAGGTATACAATACTAAATAATTGTTAATTATTACCATTTCAATTTAAAACGGTTTCCAGCAGTATTTATTAATATATGTGAAATAGCCGAAAAATAGCTAAATATCCAACACTCTCCAGGTGACCGCTGACCGTTTGGTGGGTAAAGGTCACTAACAGAAGGCAATGCCATTTTGCTGACCTAATTGAATCATGAGCACGTGCAACATTTCCCGGCTTATGCGACTTTTCAATCATTTCCCAGCCCTTAGATATAATGGAAGCAAATTTCGCCCAATCGCACTCGAGTGCTTCGTTTGTTATTGTTTTATACGCTTTAACTTCCACTTTTATGAAGGGCTCGCTCCAAAGGATGCTGCAGCCACTGCGATACCACTTCTTTTAAAACCCCCCTGAGTCCTAAATTCAGTGACGTCAATGAGTGGCTAAATAACGTTGTGGTGGCGGTTGCCTTTTTTATGAACACGCGTGAGTGCGGTAAAGCGGCGAGACGTTGCCCCATTAATTCGAAGCATACTTTAGGGCGCTCTTTAAAACTGCCACTTGGCAGTTGGGTGATTGTGGTTTATGAGAATACAACTAACTAATGGCAGCAAGGCTTTAGCATCTATAAAAATTAAAAAAAAGAATATAGTAATATACTTTATAAAGCTGAAAACGCTTGCTTTTCTCTGTTACACAATTTTCAACTACTACAATATACAATATATTCAAAACTTTCGCAAAGGTTACTATTTAAATCAAAAAACTTGATGCAACTGAACTTATTGATAAACATTAATTTATTTGCTTGGTTATTTGGTTTGTTTGACTTTCTTTAAAGTATCTTTTGAAAAAAAAATTCGTTTGAATTGATTATCGCACAGAGTTTTTTAAAAATTGGATTAATTTTACTTATGCAAAACTAAGGTATTTTTGGAAATATAATTTAATTTCCTTTTTTTGTTCTGTTTTATGTATGTATATAAAAATCAGCATAAATTGTAACAAAAAGTTTTTATGTGGATAAGGTCAGACTATATTGTGATAACTTGTTTCAAAGTTGTGTGTTCGTAATCAACAACCATAAAGAAGGGTTGGTAAAACTTCGGTAGTGAGCACTATCGATAGTTTCAGCTATCGGTGGTGTTCACTATCGTTAGTATCGAAAATTGTTCAGCCTCAGAAAAAAAAACGAAATATTTATAAAAACAAGAAAGAAAGCAAACTTCGGCAAGCTGAAGTTCATATACCCTTGCAGCTATTGCAAGAATTAAATATTTTTTAAAACATTAAAATTATGATTTACTTGCGTATATGTCTAAAAACATTGAAGCTAAGATGATTTGCAGCTCAATTATAAGATACTTTTTATATATATTATTATTATTTCTATGGGAGCTATATGATATAGTCGTCCGATTTAGATTAATTTTAAACCGTAACTCTGAAATATTTAACCATTACTATGTATATGTCGAAGAACTAAAAAAAAAATTGAAAAACAGCAAAGTTATAATTTTTTTTTGTAATTTTTTCCCGATTGTTCCTATGGGAGCTATATGATATAGTCGTCCGATTTTGATGAAATTTAAAACGTAATTCTAAAATATTTAACCATTACTATATGTTCAAGAAATAGAAGACAAAAAAAAAACAACAAAGTTATAATTTTTTTTGTATTTTTTTGCGATTGTTCCTATAGGAGCTATATGATATATGATGAAATTTAAACCCTAAATCTGAAATATTTAACCATTACTATACGTCGAAGAACTAAAAAAAAAATTAAAAAACAACAAAGTTATAATTTTTTTTATTTATTTTTTCGATTGTTCCTATGGGAGCTATATGCTATAGTCGTCCGATCCGACTTATATACCTACCTGCAATAGAAAGACAACTTTTGGGAAAGTTTCATGCAGATAGCTTTAAAACTGAGAGACTAGTTTGCGTAGAAACGGACGGACAGACTGACAGATGGACAGAAGGACAGAAGGACAGACGGACATGGCTAGATCGACTCGCCTAGTGATGCTGATGACTTTATAGGGTCGGAGATGACTTCTTCACTGCGTTGCAAACTTCTGACTGAAATTATAATACCCTCTGCAAGGGTATAACAAGTCCAGTTCAATAACATTTACATCATCTTTAAAAATGGAATTGCCATTGCAGGCAGACTACGTTTTTTTGTAACTTCTTAGCCTATTTTGAATATTCTAGAAAGTATTCGGAAATGCAGTGCGACCTGAATGTTGAAAATTAAAGCAAGCTCCTAGCTCCGCAAATACTCAAAATGTTCTTCAGATATACCAGAATTCAATTCTATTTTTATAGAGCGATGATGAGCCCAAACCATCGATGCTTTCTAAATTGTTCGATCATCGATAGTATCGATAGCACTATCGATTGTTTTACCAACCCTACTAGGAAGGCCTTATATTTTGAGATCTTCCGACCCTTGTCAAACGTGTAAAGACTCCGTTTTGGGAAAAATATAATAATTTTTTTTTTGTCAATTATTTATTGTACATGCCAATCAAGAATGGTTATTGTTTTCGTTTAGCTTAGGAGTGTTCAAAGATCCCAAATATTCGTGTTTTAAATGCAGGGCAGGTAAAAACTTGTCAGTATTCTTGTGTCAATAGTCCACAGGTCCGCTGGGTGCCGTCTGCGGAGACGTCGTCGACCCAATGGTGTAGCAAGACGTCTAGCCAGACGGTTCGGTTGTTTCCGTAACCGTTGGAACTTCGAGATGATAATAGTGGGAGTTCACCCCCAGTATCCTCGTGAGCGCCTTTGATATGCACGTTTCTACCCTTTTAAGAGATGAATCGCAGGCTGTGCCCCAGCAGGTTTTTCCCCAATTTAACATCGGAAGGACGATGGTCTGAAGAGTCGCAGCGTAGTCTGGTCGAAGAAACCAGTCCATTCTGTCCACTTTTGATCACGCTGAGCCACACACGCGATCAATGTGTCCTTTCCAACAAAGGCGACGGTCCAATGTTACATTAAGGTAGGTCACCTTGTCTTCATGCTTAAGCCTTTTCCCATCAAGGTGGAGGCTACGAGAACGGCCAGAACGTTCACTGCAATGTTCCACCGAGAAGCCTAACACTCGAATTTGTTTAAGAATGTGTGGACACGCCGGGAGGCAGACAATGGGGTACTACCAACTGCAAGAAATGCAGTGTCATCTGCATTGGTGGCCAGCAGGGTACCGCAGGCAACTGGGTTTGGAAGATCTGACGTATAAACTGAATTCAGGACCGGCCCAAGGACGCTTCCCTGCGGAACCCCAGCACGAGTTGGGCGTAGTCCAGAACGATGTCCACGGATGTCGACAGCAAACTCCCTTTTATATAAAAATGACACGATTAGCTTCCATAATCTCTCAGACAAAAGTGGCATTAGTTTGTAAAAGAGACATTCGTGCCAAACCCTGTCAATGGCCTGTCGAACATCAAGAAAAGGGAAAATCAACGTCAAAGTGTGTTTAAATACTTGTTAAAAATAATTGTGTTATCACTGTTGTGTTGTCCAATTATTCATTGCGTTGTATATCTATGTCAGCTCTAGCCGAAAACTAACAAAACTACAATTTAATCTGTAAGGTTTGTTTGCTATGGTATGTTATGAGGGGAACAATTTGGAACAATACTTTAAACATTGATAATAATGCAATTAATATTAGATTTTAATTTATAATTATTAAATATTATAATTATTAAATTTATTTCCTTTAAATATAGGCACTGAAGTCTTACTGACAATATTTACAGTTCAATGTAAAAAACATTAAAAACTTCAAAAAGTTTTTATTTTTGGTAGTATAATTAAATAGAAAAAAATTTTATTTGAATATGTTTTCTTTTAAGGTTGAAAATTTTAAATTTTAATATGATAAAATTTAAAACAAGTTGTCCAAATTTTAAATTTAACATTTACTAAATTGGTTTAAATATTAGATTATAAGATTTAATATGTTTTGTAATTAATTGTAATATTTCTTTATTTACTTTAAATATAAAATAAGCATTTTACAATTCAATATGCACATATTTATTTTTACTATTCCATCTTTTTACCAGTGTAGTAGAATCGATATTTGTTGCGAAGCCCATAAGTATGCAATATATGGATCTGGCTGAATACCGTTTATCGTGATCGCAGATACGGCCCCATATAGTCGCACAACAAATTCAACAAGAAGCAACCGACTGACCGACTCAGCCAAACTCTTCGCCTTGTCTTCGCATCGCTCAGTTTCTTTCAGCCAGTCGTTCGCGTCGGTTGTCGGCTGTTGGTTGTTGGTTGTCGGTTGTTAGTTGTTGGTGTGCGCTGTCGACGCATGTTGCATGTTGTCGCTGCGTAGTCGCAGGTTGCCACTGCGCTTTTTGGCCCTGCACGCAGACTCTGTGCGACCGCAAGGTGCTCTCAAAATAACGAGCAAAGGAAAAGGAGCAGCCGAAAAAAAAGCACTCTAGATTTGCTATTCTGACATAGTTTCGCGGCAAATCAGCAAAGACTGCAAAAAAGCGAAAGAGATCGAAAAACAGCGAACAAGTGTGTGTGTGAAATAAATGTGCATTCAACAACAAAAGCGGAGAAAAGTGAGGAAAAAACCAAAGAAGGTGCCGAGGCAGAAATTGGAAATAAACAAAAAGAAATTGCATAAGTCGGATTTTTGGCGTGCGCTTTGCTCATCTTCTGTGCCGCTGCTGCAATATTTGAGTGGCTTCTGCTGTTTATCCTCCCAACAGCGCGAGATAAAACTCAGAGACGAGCGTCGAATTATTTAAACCTACTGGCGATATTTTACAAAATTTAATCAACTCCGCTGGGCTGCTTGACCATTTGACTTTTTTCGAACAAGTTTGCTATCAAGTTTTGCCTCTCTGTGTGCGTTTGCGTTTTCGGCAATTAAAACCCATTAATGCAATTGTTGCTTACCAATTTCTATGTTCATATGTGTGCGCGCCTCTTATCCGGTAAACATTTATGCAACTCGGCCGAAAGCAACAGCAAGAGCAACATTTGGCCAAGGGACGTACTTTATCCGCGATTGAAGTCTGTGTGAGGTGAGGCAATTAACATAAACCAATTACAGCTAATTACAATTAAACAAATTAGTCGCCACAAATCGTGCGCGAATCGTCGCTGGTTGTGTCATTAAACTGATATGGAATTTGCATAAATTAGATAAGGATTAACAGCAAATAGAACAGAAACCCCAATGTGGGCTGAATCACAATATAGATTTTTTTGGTTTTTTTTTGTCCTGGCTTTTAATGAAACTCGTAAAAAGAGGGCAGAAAATTTCGAAATTTAAGACGGGGTAACTGATGTAGTTAATTACTCTGCATTCATATATGTATATTATAAAATATACAATATATTAGAAACCCAATGTAAATTATTAAACAACAAAATTTTAGTAAAGAATTGTGACAACTGACCTTAAGTAAACTAAATAAAGGGAAACAACAACAATAGGAGAATTTTCTTTAATTTTAAATTCCAAAATTCTCAATTTTTTGTAAATGCTATAAATTGAACTTATTTTTTTTTGGAGTAATGTAATATTATATCTAGATAAGCAAACTCTAAACAATTAACCATACAACTTTAAACCATACAAAACTCTTCAAAAATTGCGTATACCCTTTCAATTAAAGAAATTTTTCGTTATCAGCCCTAAAAATCGCTTTGCACTCCTAATTGCGAACTATTTGGCTCAACAAACACTTAATTTCAGCAATTTCAATGGCAAATAAATTATAATTGTAGTGCACTATTTACAAATTACATTTACATACTTCCATGTTAATTTAATTTCACAACTCGGGCAACTGCACTTCGCCAGCCACTCGATTCATTTAAATCACTCGGTTGATGATTTCATTTTAGCTGAAGCCTTAAATTGGTTTTTTGGTGCGGTTTGGCTTTGGCTTTTTTAGTTAATCATAAATAGAAATTCCTGTCACATCGAATGTCCGCTTTTTAGTTAGCAGAGTGTTTAAGAATTGGCAGGTGGAAGCAATTCATTAGCCCCATCGGCTTATAAAAAGCCGCAGTCATTCCCAAATTGGCTGCAAACTGATTCTCCTGGTTGAGACCAATGTTCTTTTCCCAGCGACTCCCACTAAGATTTGTGCATTAATTGTTTAACTGAGCATCGTCGAAGTCTTGAAGCTGGTTTGTTTCACCAAATTAAGAGACAGCCAAACCAGTTGAATGAATGAGAAAACACAGATAAAACATGTATAAAATCAGGCATAAAAAAGCCCCAAACAAATGCCTCAAACGAAGCTGAAATTAGATAATATTTAACGTGATGGGCGCCTCTCCTCTTTTATGAATATTCGTATTTGTATATGGGCATGTCTGCAAAGATGCAGTGAAAAACGTTTCAATTATCACCCCAGTGTTTGCAATGAAAACTGTTAAGTGGTGTTTAAAATGTTCCATTCGAAAACGATAATTAATCATATTACATATACATGTTATTCATATGCCTATTGCGCCACAGTGCGCGCATTTCTCACAATTATGATGTCTAACAAGAAAGAAAGCAAACTTCGGCAAGCCGAAGTTCATATACCCTTGCAGCTATCGCAAGAATTAAATATTTTTGAAAACATTAAAATTATGATTTACTCGCGTATATGCTTAAAAACATTGAAGCTATGACGATTTGCAGCTTAATTATTTGATTGTTCTTTTATATATTTTTATTATTTGTATAGGAGCTATATGATATAGTCGTCCGATTTTGATAAAATTTAAACCATAATTCTAAAATATTTAACCATTGCTATATGTCGAAGAACTAAAAAAAAAATTAAAAAACAGCAAAGTTATAATTTTTTTTCAATTATTTTTCCGATTGTTCATATGGGAGCTATATGCTATAGTCGTCCGATTTTGATGAAATTTTAACCATAATTCTGAAATATTTACCAATTGCTATATGTCGAAGAACTAAACAAAAAATTAAAAAACAGCAAAGTTACAATTTTTTTCAATTATTTTTCCGATTGTTCCTATGGGAGCTATATGCTATAGTCGTCCGATTTTGATGAAATTTTTACCATAATTCTGAAATATTTAACCATTGCTTTATGTCGAAGAACAAAACAAAAAATTAAAAAACAGCAAAGTTATAATTTTTTTTCAATTATTTTTCATGCAGATAGCTTTAAAACTGAGAGACTAGTTTGCATATAAACGGACGGACAGACGGACAGACGGACATGGCTAGATCGACTCGCCTAGTGATGCTGATCAAGAATATATATACTTTATAGGGTCGGAGATGTCTCCTTCACTGCGTTGCAAACTTCTGACTGAAATTATAATACCCTCTGCAAGGGTATAAAAATAGAAGAGAAAAACCAAATTGCTCACAGTTGTGGGTGTTGCTTTGGGTTCAACTTTGGCGAAATTAATGAGGCAACAAACTTAAATTATTAATGAATGAATGCGGTCATTGACAAATACACCACACACACACACACACACAAACACTACATTTTCAATAAATATAATATTGAAAACCAAGAGCAGACGTTAATAAAGTAGGCAAATAAATATTCCAATTTCATTATGCGGTTTGGGCTGTTTATTGCAAGTCGAAACCCCGCTTAGCCACAATTACTAATTGCGGCTAGCCAAAATGTTCATGAACAGGCAGGGGCTGTGGCTTCGGGGCAGCAAGGGGTTAAAGTTCATGTACACATTTGTAGAAAGATTATTACAACTTTTCTTGTGCGTTTTTTAAGTAAGTAAAAACAGAATTGGCAAGCGTTTCTTTTCGGTTTCGGAGACAAAAAAAAACAGAGCCGTGATTATTGTTAAATTTGGTTCAAGCTTTTGGTATGATATTAAGTGTAATAAATGATCGGATATAAAAACTTTCTTTCTAACAACGTTGAATCGTTTTTTAATTTAGAGATTTGTTGCTATTAATTAAAGTAAAAAGAGTTTCAATTTAAACTAAAGCTAACGCCTGTAAGCTAAAAACAAAAACATAACTTAACTTAACTTCTGAAAGTCGGGCTAGCATTGAAATTTATTGTTGAAGTAGTTTTTAAAACTTGGTCTTAAGAAAAAAGGCATTGTGTCGCTATATTTTCCCAAACTGTATAGATTCTCCTGATGTGGGTGCACAATTTAGAAAATGTCTCCCAAAAAACATAACTAACCCTGACGACAATAAATCAAACCATCACGTCAACTCGATTATTTAACAGTTTGTGGAACTGTGGAATTCGCGTAGCTCCAATAAGTGAAAGGTTCGTCGAACCGGAATTAGCTCCGGGCCAGATTCGGACATTATTCAAGCGAACTTGGCGCGGTGAGCGATAAACCAGTCATGACTGATAAGCTCGTGCATAGAACTTGGCCAAAACACGTTTAGCACGGCCAGCCAAAAATAAAATATTAAACAAATTCTTAAAAATAAACAAAGCTAAATAATAAGCTGCCCAAGTCCGAGCTTCGACTCCAAACGTATGGTACGGATCGGCCGAATATATAAATATTATCTGATGATAACCCAACAACGAACCAACTGGTTGACAAATGATCGCGTTTATAGCTTGTTTGATCCGTTTATTAGAATGTCCCCCGGCGAGAGATTGTAAGATATAAAGATCTGATCCAAGCAGAGCAGATCGAGCTAATATAATTTATTGGTATCAGCTTTGCCTTTCTTTTTTGCGTTTTCTTGGGCTTTTTGTTCCGACCGTGTCAACTAATTAAGCAAAAATAACGCTTAAATACAATTGGAAACACGTTCCAGCAAACCTTGGTAGTGCTATCCACATCCATTAGCATTCGGATGGTCGGGTTTGGATCGGCTCGGCGTCTGGAGCCATTAAAATCGTATTTATAATGGGCATCGAAGAAAAACAAAACGCATTGAGCTGGCGAATTAAATGGTAATTTTTCAAGTTCAGCGCATCCGGTGACATCGATACATCAGCTTTCAATTGATTTAAATTGCCTTAATTGTTTCAATTTGGCTCACAGCCACACAATGGCCACCACGGCAGACTTGAACCCGAAACCCACTATTACGATTATGAGGCTGATTTCCATTATAATGGATCTCGGCCTGGCCAAGTGCCACAAACCCGTTTCCACACACATTAGCATAGACGTACTACATATGTTGGGGGCAACCAAACGCCATGCAAATATCGGGGCATTCGCTGCAAGTGCATCCACAACAAATGCGCCCTAATTGGCAGCCCGGCCCGAAATTGATTGGGTTACTGGTTTCGGGGCTCGCCTTTCGGGCTTTCCCTCTCACGTTTACGGCCATTTAATTGCCCATTTCTCGCTGGCCCAAATACACGGACATCCGTTTGATTGCCTTGCACAATTTTCAAGTTCACAGCGCGGTCAATAAATTGCACTTGTTGCCGCCGCACTTGTTGCTGCTGTCGGTCGGATGCTGATGTTGCTGCCGTTGCCGCTGATGCCGCTGTTGCTCCGATTCAATTATGACAGCTCTTTATTGTGTTAACGAAAACAAAATGTCAAATGCTGACTTGGCCACTGCTATTGACCTTGACAGTGCTGCGCTGCTTTGTTGAACTCAAATGGGATTATGGATATGAGAGTATTCAAATGAATTCGGCAGCCCATCATAAATTTGATATCTTCTGCTGGTTTTACAAGCATTAGGCAAGTTTAAATTGATATTAGGGGAAATTTAAGATGAACCATTGTCGCCAAGCCCCACTGAACTAATTAGCAAAAGGCAAGAAACAAAAAAAAAAAAATACAGAAAAAAGCATAGTTGAAGAACACAATTATTATACCCTTGCAGAGGGTATTATAATTTCAGTCAGAAGTTTGCAACGCAGTGAAGGAGACGTTTCCGACCCTATAAAGTATATATATTCTTGGTCAGCATCACTAGTAGAGTCGATCTAGCCATGTCCGTCTGTCCGTCCGTCTGTCCGTCCGTCTGTCCGTCTGTCCGTCTGTCCGTCCGTTTATATGCAAACTAGTCTCTCAGTTTTAAAGCTATCTGCATGAAACTTTCCCAAAAGTTGTCTTTCTATTG